AGCAGGCGCTCATCTGATAGCTGCCATTGTAAAGAAATCTTGGAACCATCGTTCCATGACTGAGATGAGAGTTTCTTTGAATTAGTTTCTACAAAAAGGGAAGATACCTTTACTATTTCATGGCAATTAACCAGTTTTTCGATTTTTAAGGAAATGTAATCAGTAGCAGCAGGCGCTCATCTGATAGCTGCCATTGTAAAGAAATCTTGGAACCATCGTTCCATGACTGAGATGAGAGTTTCTTTGAATTAGTTTCTACAAAAAGGGAAGATACCTTTACTATTTCATGGCAATTAACCAGTTTTTCGATTTTTAAGGAAATGTAATCAGTAGCAGCAGGCGCTCATCTGATAGCTGCCATTGTAAAGAAATCTTGGAACCATCGTTCCATGACTGAGATGAGAGTTTCTTTGAATTAGTTTCTACAAAAAGGCAAGATACCTTTACTATTTCATGGCAATTAGCCAGTTTTTCGATTTTTAAGGAAATGTAATCAGTAGCAGCAGGCGCTCATCCCCTGTTTATTCCAACTAACTCATCTATGCTCAGTTTGGACAGTTAGTTGCAGAATAGTCAATTCTTCGACCTATTGCTAGAAGGATTAGAAGAAATTTTTTAAAGAATAGATCAAGTATTTTGAATCTTCATAAAATACTAACTGATTACATCCGAATCATACAGAGTTGTTTCAGAGCTTATTGATTGAATAAAAGAATACTTAATCAATAAGTTGATAGCTGATTCGATAGTCTCAATCACTTTTAATCTTTTTTTTATTTGTAAAAAACTGCTTAGATCGCATTTTTTTCCAGTTCGATTTATAGCTGAGCAATAACAAATCAAATAATTGTCGAGTTTTTTCACATTGCTGTGCTCTCACATCAAAAGTGAAGATTTGCCTTCAGAAGAAAATCAGAAATAATGCCACCAATTTTTCTTGATTTAGTGCAAATCATTTTCCCGCGACAATCCTAGCTTATTAGTTTTTTCCTGAGAAAATGCCTCACATGCCAGGTTTATTCCTAATCTGTTGTTTACGTAAATTCTATTATAGCTTTTCATGCCTTACCAAATTTACAAAAATTGATTTTTTACCCTTTCAAGGAAAAATGCAGCTTCGGATTTTTTATCAAGCCCCCAATTTGATCTCACTTTATTTATTTCAACCATGTGAAGCATGCGAGTTGTCCCTCTATCTTTTTTTCAGTAATCAATCGGTTCAGGACCATCTAGAACACATCCTTATTGGTAAGCGTTATAAGAAAACCACATAGTAAATTTTATATCTTAGATACTAAGTCTGCAATCTTATCGTGAGCTTATCTTACAAGATTTGTTGAATCAAAACCAAGATCGTTTCTAGATTTTGTTCGACTATTAGTTCCTCTCCGTCCATCCTTAGAACTTTTCCGCTGTACGTCTTCTTTCCATCCATAGAATCATCTTGCATGTCAAGTATGGTAACCAAAATAATATATTTTCTAGTAGCTCGCTTTTCGATATCTCATCCACAAAAACTTTTTGGCTCTTAACCCAAAGCTTGCAAAGTTATCTGTCGATGATGATTATGACAGTTGCGTTCTACTCTTGAACTGACAGCATAGAGTGCAATTGTACCAAACGATCAAAGTTCTGATCGGTATCTTAGACTGGCAAAGGCAGAGGTCTGCAAGAAGTTCTGTTTTCATAATCAGTTTATACGCAAAAGCACGTAGGGATAACCATAATGTATGTGGTGAACAGATAGTTGTGTAGGCGGAGCTTAGGATTGATGGGGCGGAGTTTGCCAAATTTCGACCAGCGTTTATCTTGCTTACTGAATGTGAGCTTGAACCCTAAAAGTGTGTATGAAGCAACTCTTTATGTTTACTATCGGTAATCGCTTTCGAAGCTACTGGCAGGATCATAACATTTTTATATGGTTCATTTCTGAGTTTGAGTATGATCCTTTTCTTTGGTTATGCCCCTACAATGTGGCAGAATCTGTCAAACTCCTCAGACAGCTGACCGGAGCTTCCGCAGAACGTTTGGGAAAGTTTCGCCGAGTCATTTGCGGAAGTTCCCAAATGAGTCGCTGCGGAAGTTCCGAAGAATGTGAACCACAACAGCAAAGGAGAACACCTAGAGGAGGTTTGGACCTTACTCTATTTATTGACTGTAAGACACCTACTATCCTCTGCACTACGAACAACATGTTCGATAATTTACTCTAGTTGTTGGCGAGGCAACATCATAAAAGACAACACATTTAAAACTCTGCGGAAGTACTGGCATTGTCAAAGTGCTGCGTGGCCGCTAAGATTTCTCGGAATTCCCGCAACGCTTTGTAAAAAATCCTGCGAAAGTTCCCATTTGCAACGTTTCCACTTTTGCAATAGTAAACAAAATCCTGCGGAAGCGCTGCAAATTTTGCTTGTCCTGCGGAAGTTCCGGTGAATTGTCTGAGTCGATTCAGGCTCTAAATCAAAAATTTTGTTTAGCCGCGAATGTAAAACCTTGCTAATTATCCATTTTTAGCACCATCTTGTAGTGCTTACTTTCCTCTTTTCCTGACAATCTTATAAGAACATTTGGCAAAAAATCCCCGAAACCCACACTTCTATGACAAAGCACATGGATGTTTATTTCGCTGACACAGCTTCCATGCTCTCTGATCAAATTCTCTTCGGAACATTCCGATGTCTCCACCATCATGTGATCGTCATTGGTTTTTATTTCTTGTTCAGTGCAGAACACTCGCATGGCATTCTGTTTTGTTTTCGCTAATGCTGATTCATCCGATGGTGTTGCTCTCAATAAGCAAAATATCGTATTTAACTATCTCGCAATGGCATGCATACGGTGTTCTTCCAAGCGGGAGACATAGCTGCCATGCAGTTTTCTTGGATGATTCTTTCCAGGTCTCAACGTTTATCTTTAACAAGCTTTAATAAGCCTTTTAAAATTGCTAATGTCTTGCTTGATATGAATTTCATTTTCCATTTTTTCAATTGAACTAGTGCCAGCAATCTAAAGATGATATTTGGAAGAGCGTTCGCTTCGCCCGCCGCGGTTTCCCGCTATTGGAAGATTTTTGAATTGAGCTAGCGATTCTTTGTATATTACTGCGAGAATTTTCTTCCCTTATACAAACCACTCTGCAATTTCCTCCAAAAATCTTGCAATGATAGAATCGGTTTTTGAAAAATCATGGGACATTTTTTTTATGCTTGTTAATTTGAATTAAAAAATGTGATAACTCCGAATGCAGTCGTCTTTTCCTTACTACATCTTAATAGCCCTCACCTGCAATACATTGTCTATAGAAACATTTTTGAACAAAAGACGAGAAGTTTTGGCATTGGTCCAAATTTTTGAATTAGTGATAAATATAAAATAAATCCTATCGCAGCGCCACCAAAACACCTTAAAAAGATACCTTTGAAGGGAAGAAATTCTGTTTTTCCAAATTTCTTTGACCAAATAGTCAAAATATATTTCATAATATGTTTCGAAGTATTCTATGAGCCATCAACAGTTGTTGATGCGAAAATATTCATTGTCAATGTTTCTTCATCCCGAAATGGACTGTTCACCGTTTATATGTAGGTCCCAGTATTCCAGTTTTTGCGCTCTATTAATCCGACTATCATAGAAAAATCATAGCTCTGGTTTAATGTGTTATTTAGCATTATATGTCAGCGCATTTACAGAATCGAATCGGCGCTCGTCTTTTTTTTTTGCTCTTGTTTTCAGTGTATAGATTGTGGCTAATGATGTGTGTACTTTGCAGCTCATTGCATTCGATAAAGGGGTCTGGATAGGGTAGTCATTTTTGCGCAGTTAACCCCGTTTCGTTTAAAAGAAAGGCTTACTTTCTTAGTATAAAGCAGCTGTCGTTAACGTTGTGAGATGCACTGAATTAACTCTCCAGATCTCTATTCAAAAAGGATAAAGGATTCGGCATGGTTGGGCTAGGGGCGGGGATCGAACCTGTTCCCGATCTAATCATAGCGGCGCCTCATACCACTGCGCCACTCCCTCCCAGGTCTTTATTTACGAGCAATTTATTCGACGGACCATGCTTATGAAGGCGTACGATAATAGTAGTAAAAAAATGCGAAAAAAACAAACCGAATTAAGTGACAAGATGGAGCCGCATATTGATTGATCACATTCAATAGGGAATTATTTACGTGAAATTTGCTGCTCTGTTTGGAAATGGAAAAAATTGAGAGCAAACTTAATAAAGCAGGCATTCAGCCTGGAATAAAACAAATGATGAAATATATAAAAGATTCGTTATTGTATGAAATGCCCAGAATAGGAATAAAAACAAGTATGCACATCTGGATTCCTGCATCTATCCTATTCCACTTGTTTTCTAGACCAAGGAAGGATATCATATTTCCATCCACTTGCTTCACGCTTGTACTTTACCGCCAACTTATATTGGACACGTGCTTGATTCATTTTTATATTTACGTTTTTCTTATTAAACGATAAATTGAATTCCGAAATTGCAATAGCTGTTTATGCAATATTCCATCCGTCATTTTTCGTGATAAGGAGTTTACTTCGGTCCTCTATTATTCCCCGAATGACAAAATTTTTTTCAATCTCCAACATTCTTACTAGCACATAAATAACGCTGTAAGAGGGCTTGAATCTTTTTGCCCATGAAATCATTATTTTTCTAATTTTCCACTCCATTTCTCACCTATCTAACTTTGGAATTCTTTCAACATTTGGACCCGCCATATAGATAACCATAATGATTCGCAACATTTTTTGCTGCAAATGGGCTAGACAGGAAAATTTCCACTTCCTTTGTTGTTCATTTTCACTTCCTTTGCTGTTTCTTTTTCTTATCACGAATTCCCTGGCTCACCTTCATTCATTTTTCTTACACTTCTCTTCATTCTTGTCTCTATGCAATTTTTCATCCATGACCGCTTCTTTCAGATTTTTGTACATTTTTTTGTATGTTTCAATCTTTTCTGTAGATTTTGTGCTTTTAGACGAGTCGAACGGTCCTGTTGTATACAGTGAAATTCGAAAGCCAAGCAAAGAATCGAAAACAAACGCAGTGGCAGAGGAAGCTCCCAAGGAAGAAAACTCAGAACATCCGAGTGAACAACAAACAACCTCCACGGTAAGTTGGCCGGGTGCCAAGTGCGAATTTTTTTCTCTTTGGAAACAAAATCTACAGGGGTATCAAAATCTACAGGAACAAGCGGAAATGCCTCCTCCGCCGGTGCCACCAAAACCACGTTCGGCCTCAGCTATGGCCGAACCTGTTACTGAAATGCCAGAACGGTTCGTTGAAACTGTTTTTCAGATTTGATTTCAAAAAATCGTTTTTTTTAGACGGGGTGTGCTTCCTGCGCAAGTGCGCCCACTCGTTCAACGACCACCAAGTCCGCGAGACGCTGGACGAGCCACTCCAAGCATCGAGCCGGATTTGGTTGGAAAAGACAGGTTGGATCAAAAATATTTTCGTTATATTCAGAGTAAAAATTCCCTTTTTTCAAATTTTCAAAAAACCAATGATTTTTTATCAAGTATCAGGTTGTCCCATAAGTTCCGTCCGTTTAGGCTTTCGATCGCAATAAGTCACGAACTTCTTGGTTTTAAACAGGTTGCAAGGTATCATTTGATAGAGCAAAGCAAGCTCTACAAGATGCGCTTCTCAATTTCGCATCATTTCAAATCCATCTCGAGTTTGAAGCCAAAAACCAAAAAGATCCAACCGCCCGAAAAATAAAGAAAAAATCGTAACTCCGTCTAGAAAATTCCTAGAAAATTCCTAACTTGCTCACAGATAGCCTATCCACATCAGACATTTATATATACTGTTGCTGCATTTTTTCCTTGAATAGAAATCGAGAAAACGAAAATTTTCATGTTTTTGCCAAAGTGATGCTGTGCTGTTCTCACACCAGTAGTTGTATTCTACAGACCAGTACAAGTACAGACACAAATTTTCAGCGCTCTACAGGCTTTAGTTCTCGAGAAATAATCGTTTTAAGACGGGACACCCGACTGTACGAAGCTAAATTCGATGTTTCTCGAGAACTAAAGCCTATAGAGCGCTGAAAATTTGTGTCTGTACTTGTACTGGTCTGTAGAATACAACTACTGGTGTGAGAACAGCACAGCATCACTTTGGCAAAAACATGAAAATTTTCGTATTCTCGATTTCTATTCAAGGAAAAAATACAGCAACAGTATATGTAAATGTCTGATGTGGATAGGCTATCTGTGAGCAGGTTAGGAATTTTCTAGGATTTTTCTAGACGGAGTTACGATTTTTTCTTTATTTTTCGGGCGGTTGGATCTTTTTGGTTTTTGGCTTCAAACTCGAGATGGATTTGAAATGATGCGAAATTGAGAAGCGCATCTTGTAGAGCTTGCTTTGCTCTATCAAATGATACCTTGCAACCTGTCTAAAACCAAGAACTTCATGACTTATTGCGATCGAAAGCTTAAACGGACGGAACTTATGGGACAATCTGATACATGCAAGGCGGTTGGAATTAGTTTGAAAAATGCAGAATTCAAGCCTGTGGGGAGAGGAACGCAGAAGGACAGTACTTGCAAAATGCGCGTAACTTGAGGTCTCCCCACTCCTGTGTTACGTCTTCATATCGCGCTGGGACCCGTCTTGGCCAATCGCAGCAAAGCGTCTGTTTTGCGCGAAATGAAATTATCCTCGTGTACCGTAATCTTACAATCTCAAGATGAGTACATTAAAGTAGACAATTTTTGCAGGTCAGCTTATTCATAAATTTAATTACCAAGGCCCCTTCCAAAACAATCCCTTCCCATTTTCCTTCTATCATCCATGCTGACGTGAGCTGCAAGATGGAAAATCTGTAGCACAGGTGTAAATGGATACTTCGAAATTTTGGTATTTCGGGAATAAATGTATGGAAATGAGAGAGGAAGGGAGAGAAAAGAAGAAAAGAAAGAAATGTGTTGTATAGAATCTGTGATATCATTACATTACCTATCAGTGGTCCACCGTTTAAAAAAACGAAGGAAGGCTTCAAGGCTCAGATGAGCTAAAAATCATTCAGACAACTTTTTTATGTTTTTTTTTTGAATAATGGAAAAATTGAAGTTAAAAATAGGTCAACCTTGTGGAAGAATTTTTTGGTGCGTTGCTTCCACTTCGCTCCTGATTTAGAACTTTGTCAGCCATGCTCTCCCCCCTCCCCCTCCAATAAAAATGCTCTCACATCTCCACCAAAAACATCACCACCAGTTCATGAACGCTGCTATCAACTTTATAACTTATCTTCCTGTCTTCGAAACTTCTGTGCATATGAGAATCGTCTAAGCCATCAATTTTGACCTCAGCTGCTCCACCTGCCCAAATTTTAAACTTATTTTCATAATCAAATTTTGCTTTATGATACACACTAATAGAATGACCGCATCGTTCTGCTGTCAGCCCAGATGTCTCACTTTTTCAAGCAGTTGATCAGCTGATGCGCAACCATATGTCGCGCAGATTAGAACTACCAGATGTTGTTTTGAACATAGATATAACATTTTATTGTATTTTGAACTTTTGTGCTTGTCACAGAGAACGGCCACAAAGGAGAAAAATGTAACGATATTTTTATCGCAGGTCACCTTTTTATGGCTGTATGATCAATTACCAAAACCAGTATCCGCAACAACTTGATCAAATATCATGAATTCCAGTTATTCGGGTAGAAAACAAAATATTAATAATTTGAATGTTGTCGAAGCAAAAGAAATAAATTATACTCGAATCTGTAGGGGTCTCTCTTGAAAGCGTGGCTAGTTCACACAGCAGTGCCTCAAACTTTGACATTTCGAATTTCGCGCCAAAATGGGCGAGGCATCCCTATTGGTTAGCACAGTCTCGGCAAGAATAGTGAGTGATGTGGCATGAGAATGGGCGGCGCTTTGAGCTTCCACACGGTTTTTTGCTGGGACTATGAGAAATGTTCAGATTTTTTAATCGAAAAAATTACCGTAAAGGGAAAATTTTTATTATTTTCAGTTTCAATTTAGGAAAAACATGCCGCAATGCAGTGTAATTTGCACAAAGTACTGTTCTTATCTATCTCTAAAAATTCGTAATTCGTGGATTTTATATTGATTTTTTACTATTGTATGATATATTTTCTTTCATTATTTTATATGCATTTTCTAGGTACGACAAAGCCTCGAAATGTTTTTCGTACGCGCCTACGAAAGCATTAAACGAGGCGTTCGAACGTCCCAGAAAGAGTTCGGTGACGAAAATCGAACGAAGAGTAGAAGAAGAATTACAAAACATCGATCCAAACGAAGTTAGTAAGGTGAGCTCAGAATTCCTCTGTTACGAAACAAGTCGCTTTCGCTGTGAGAATTTTGCAGTATAAAAATTCCTGTTTCATAAAAACAATATAGTTTTCACAAATGACAAAAGCTACGATTTTTCCTTGATAGACGTGTTTGCTCCGAGCATTCCGATAAATTTCGGTCCAGGTTGTGCTGTTTCCTAACGCGCCCATTAGCGTCCTCGAGTACGGTAGAATACGGTGTGGGATGAGGTTTACACCCAAATTTCTCTACCGTTAATAAATCATATGATTTGTCAGTAGGGGCGCTAACTCAAACCATTTTTACATATAAAGATAAGACCCCGTGATGCACATTTTCTTGAAAATGCTTTAAAAACCAGGAAATTTCGCTCCAGTTATCCGCCCCTGCCACCTGCAAAAAGTCAATATACAGAAAAAACTATTTTACTTGTTTCAAAGTCGACAAATTGATTTTCGAGACAAATTCTGACGTAATATATCATTGTTTACGATTGGGTTTGTTACCAAATGGTTATTCATGCTTATGGCGATCGATTCATACCTATACCTACCGTATACAACCCGGTGCACTTATATATATATATATATATATATATATATATATATATATATATATATGACTAAATGATTTGAATTGAGTACATTTTTTCATCCGACAAAGAAAGGTGGTTGCGGTGAAACTGCGGCTAATCAACATTTTCGTTGTTTTTGTTGCTAATTTGGGAGGGCACAATAAATGTCGAAAATCTTTTTTCTCAAAAAATTCGCTGTTTCTGGCTTGATCTTCTGTTTAGAATTAACCAGTACAGACTAATTGTAAGAAGTAAATGCGAAAGCCCCGAAATGGAAAATATTGATGTCGCTCTCAACAAAAAACTCTGCAGTCAAGCATGGATTGCCCTCATGCGAATAAGTGTGCGTTTTTCTAGGCGTACATACCTCGATCGGAGCCAGCGCGGATGCAACTGCCGCCAAAATGGGACGATGAAGTTGAACAAGCAAAGCAGGTGGGCTTTTTCTAATTCTTGAGCTAGCTACGGAATTTTTCTGACTTCCGGAGAGCAGAAATATGCTCTAACTCGTACTGTTTAAGCTGTGGACTGGCTCAAAAATGAGAGCAAATGCGGCGCGTTAAATGACGGACATTTGACATTTGGAATCGCGTAAGCGAAATGCAAAGTCTGCGTCTAAATTTGCAGTCGCAAAGTTCCATCCGTTCATTTTGCTATACTAGAGACATCTATGAGGAAAGAGTTCTCATATATTAGAGTCATTTATCGTTTTTCTAAATGTTTTCTCATTTACGTGTACGCTACACCAAATCTCAAATGTCCGTCATTTAGTGCGTCGCCTTTGCTCAAGCAGTTTTCGAGCGATTTTTATGGTGCATGCGTTACAGATCCTAACGAAACTGGCTGTTTTTTTATAATTTCTTTTTCCCTCCTTAAGTGCCATATTTCTATTCTCTTTCATAAACCTCTACTTTGCACAACTCCCTTTACTTTTCCATAGATCAATACTTTGCAGAGAAATTTCTGCCATGCATCCCAGGACTGTATTATGGTCAGCTGACACATTGTGAATTTTTACAATGCTTTTTTTGTAGTCCACATTTTTCACCTTCAATATCAGTGCACATTTTTGAGAGGCGGAAGAAAGATATCAAAGCAAACGGTTGTTCTCTGTGCATGTAAAAGGTTCAGTGGAATTAAGTGGTCCATGTAATGCACATAGGCTGTTTTGTTGTCCGACTAATGAGCCATTCGAAATCCATGATGGAGAACGATTAGGCCATTTGAAGCACTAAGATATATCTGTTTCGATTCTCTACACGAAAATAGCTCAAAAGAGCGCCTCCCCTCCTCCTAATGCTCCTTCTCACTTCTTCCCATCCATCCTTTTCAAATACATTTCAATCCTTGAGCCAAAATAGGTGCTCAGGTTATTCTTCATGTAAAACTACGATTTTTGCACACTGAATAATTCGTGCTGTGGTTTCTCATGTTGAACTTTCACCTACTCAGAAGTTAACTCCTTTTTCTTGACAACTCAATTTTTATCTGATGTTTTAGTGGAACAAACAATATCAAAAAAATTGCTTACGTTTTTTTCCAAAATAGATATCCCGCAAAACTTCCAACGCTTTTTCTACGATATTTTTCGAAGTCTCCGAAACAGAAAACGATAATTTTGCGGTATACAAACTCTCCTGTTCATTTTTGAAGCCGAGATTCAGCTAGCTTGAATTAAATCTAAACTGTTGAAAGTCATACATTACCTTTCCATGTTTCTCATGAAATTTAGCTTTTTGTTATGCTTTGAATACAAGTCAAAATTTCCTTTTACTAATCGAAATTGTTGAATGGAGGAGAAAGTTGGAAACTTTTATTGATCAAAATCATGCATAAATAGAAATTTTTGGAAAATCAGAGCTGCTCTATACGCCAGAACTCACTTGTTACGAAATCAGAGAGTTTCCAGTGTAAAGCAAACATGGTAAGAAATTCTTTACATAAATGTAAGTTTCAAACATTTCCAGATGCTGTACATTTCCAAAATCTCATGATAGGGAGAAACAGGAATCTTTTTCTTGAGAGGTAACCACAACGGACCCCCATCCCCTTCACATTTCATTCTTGCTGCTTGTTTGTCCTAGCGTCAGAAAGTTTTCCATGAGTCTCTCGCATGAAATCTGATCAGCTCAGTATTCACTTCAAAACACCTGGGCTAAGCACAGAAACATTCCATTGCCCTTGCTTTCGTTCCGTGTGGCTAGTATGTAAAGGACGGACTTCTAGAGCCAGTTTTTTGAAGGATGGCAGATGTGATTTCGTTCGTCATAAACGCTTTTGTTAGACATTGCTTCGTCATTTTCGCTACTTCGACTGCGATTCTCGCAAAGAATTTTGGGGGGCTTTTTTGCTGAATTTTTGAGCTATCTTTCACAAAAATAATTATGCTTTTTCCGGCCCGAAAATACCCCTTCTATCACGTCTTTGATCTCAAGATCATCTGACAATTGTTTTTCCTTATGAAACAGCAATATTTTAAGTTTAATTAGCTAGTTTTACATCATCGACTGAGAGAGCGGTTGGCGTCCTTACACCGACCGAATCTGCAGCTCTCATTTTCCCTTTAAACTATGCTCGAACGTCGCTCTCCCGATCGAAAAAACCAACTACCATCACTTACTGCTATCTTTCCCAACTCTTGTTCCCACAGCCATGCCTTCTCCATGATTCTTTTCAGTTTGTTTTCTTGCTTGAAGCTGAACAAACTAACTTCCAAGTCTCATATCAGCCCTGTTTATTTCGAACATATTAATTGATTTTTATTGATTTTCAAAACCGAAACGACTTTTATCTAATGGGAGTTTTCATCATTGATTATTGTGATGCTAGATCAAATAAAACGCATTCAAAAACCATTGAGCATCAAATCGTCAATCAGGAACGGGAAACTTTTTAGCAAAGAGTTCTTTCCTCCGAATTTCTTAGGGAAAAAACCACATCGTCATTTGTTTATTCTTGTGAAAGGATTCTGAATATGAAAAAAAATGATAATATTTCAAGAAAATTCTCCTTGAATTTTACAAACAAAAACGGAAACTTTCCTAGAAATTTGAGCAAAACCAAAATATTTACAAGATAAATTGCCAAATGTTGGATTTGTTTTACAACTGCCTTTTTTCAGCTTGTAATTTTCTTTATAGTCTTTATTATAATATTTCACTACGTCATCTGCAGCATTTACAAATGATAATGTCCATTAGATTGAAAATTTGTGGATAAATCGTTAAACTGAAAAATTTTCCGTTTCTGTGTGACTTATTAACGCTTAATGGTTTGTGACTGCGATTACTTTTTGAAACAACAGGATTCCGATAGGTTTTCACATTTCGACGTAACTGTCGTAACAACATCGACGCGCTATAATCTACCAAGAAATATTCTCAAAAGAAATTTTGCATCATACTTCTAATCTTTCGTAAGTTAAAAAAAATAGCCCTTGTTTACACTTCTCGCTTCTTTAACAAATTTTTGTGATAGCAAACATATGATACGTATGTCCTTCACTACTTTTCTCGTGACTCGCTTCTCTACCTAATTCCCTTTCTGTGAATTGCTCTTATTCCTAAAGGAGATGCCCAGGCAAATTTGGTGACCTGAGTTTCTTATGTGGGAGATGTTTGGGAGGCTTGAACTAAGTCATTGCCCAAGTCGCAGTTCAAATCAATCATTCATGGTTGAGATAATCAAATTTGAATCTCAACCCATACCATATTCTTCATGCTCTTTGGTCTGTTTGAGTACGGTATGGACTGATGTTTATAGTCGCATTTTTCAGCTAGGAATGCATCATATGAGCTACCTTTTGGTTAATGGCTCAGTTAAGTCTTGCCAAAGTTCCCACATAAGAAACTCAGCTACAATGACACCGCCTCCAAAAAAGCTGTATCGTCGAGAAATTTCCGATCAATCGCATATGTTGGTTTCATGCCTCCACTCCTACTTTTTCAGTCAAACGGATTATGGATATTTTTTTCTGATTTGATAGTCTGATGGGCACAGATGTCAACGGATAGTATTCAGCGTGAAATTGAAGAAGTGCATATTTGTGGTTTTGCGTGCAATCACCTTTGTTTGAGTGTAGATCTTAAGTTTGCGATTAGAGCAGCTTTGCAGAAAAACATGAGCAGTTTTGTGTATAAATTTAGAATCATTTTTCTATTGAATCACTGTAGATGTGTTACCTTATCACCCTTGCTACAGTAATGACCTTCACGAAAAGCTGCTCTGATACGCTTTTGTGACCTACTTTCCTGCTGTGTATCTCTCCCAATCGGAAACTAACAAAAAATTAGTAAAGTTGCCCAGGCTGCAAGCGAATCCATGGATTCGTGAAGCCAGCCATTTGTCTTATTGTGCAAGCTTTTTATTCTGCTTTTCTATTAGCGTTATGGATGAGGCGATGCAATGTACTTACAGCGTATCCAACTCCCTAGTGATTCATTGCATTGCGGTTTGAGCTACTGTACTAATAATGCTATTTAGGGAGCCTTATTTTTAAGGAGGGCGGGGGGGGGGAGAAGGGGGAGGCTTTGGACTTTTCTGTGTAGAACCGATTGAGAGGCCTAGTCAAAGCCTTGCCCAAGCGACAACTCATATAATTCAATCGTAGCCGAGATATTCAACTCTAAATTCTCACCCGGTACCGTACTCGAGGAAGAGGCTACGGTATTGGGCGGGAATTCAAGACTGAATTTCTCGGCCAGTTCTGAATCATATGAGCTGCCGCTCAGGCAGTGGCTTACCTAAGCCCCACCCCCCCCCCCCCAATCATCTTCCATATAACCCAGTTTAAAATTTGCTCGACATTGCCTTCAAAGTTGAAAATCGTTTGCAAACTTATGATCCATTTGTCGTAAGTTTAACAAAACCTCTCCATCATTTCTCCACCTATCAATAGATTTTTTTCTCTCGTTTCTTGATGCGTTTTCTCTGCTTTTTTGTAAAGTCCGAATCTACACTCGAACGAACGCCTATTGAGATGCTGCACTTGTGACTGGCATTTTCATTTCTGGGACTCGATTTGCTTCTGCTTTTCTTTCGAAATTGGCTTTCTCAAATGAAAATGTTTTGTGTGCAATGCACGGATTTCCTTTCTTTTTTTTTGGAAAACCTTTGCTGCAATCTTTGATTCAAGTTTTACTAATTGGCTTTGCCTAGAATACTTCTAGGCATGCAGCATAAAACCTTCAGGAGCTTTTTGAACCGCTCAAAAATCACTCAACTTTCAACTCTACGCTCATGTTGTTGGCCAAAAAATGGCATGTACATATCTGTTGGGTTCGAGACGCCCCAGCATGCTGATTGTGCGGGGCCTGCTAGTATGGGCGGAGCTTGCCAGTCTATTCCTTGGAGCTGCTTGCTTGTAGAATTAGTTATTGCTAGCTAAAGAGGGCGGCATGAAGTGTAGGTCATTCGCGCGAGCATAATGCATCAGGGAAATACAGGATCACCGTGCACACGACTTCCTGCGGCAGCTTTTGCCGGCGCGACTTGTTAAAACTAGTCACGCTGGGTGCTGATGGTTACTGCAGTGCGAAACGGCCATCTTCCTCCTAGAAAAGCTCTACTGGGCTGCTATACCCTAGCATAGGTTGTTATGAGTATTTTTTGTTTTTTTTTTCACCCAAATATTAGGTTGGCACGAAAGTTCTTGCGTAATTCAAACAAAATTCAATAACTTTTCAAAGACTAACCTATATTCACAATCTATGCTAAAAATATTAGAAGTCTTACGCTTCATAATGGATGTTTAAGCATAAGATTCCTTGAGCTGGACATCAAGAACGAAGCTCTCGAATATGGGGCTTCAAATTTTGCGATTTTAAGTTTGATGCCAGAAAATCGCAGAGTGCCGCTAGCTAGCCGAAAAATTGTAGAATTTACTTACACAACAAAAGTCCATATGTTACTTTGGAAGGCTTTGATCTTGCACGGTGAAGCAAAAACAGAAATTTCGTGAAATAAGTCATTTTGCGGAAAATTCCCCTCATGTCCGCAGTTTTCCGGCCAAAACACTTTTTTACAATCGAGAAAACGTCGCAAGGCTCTAAATAGGCACTATGTCTGATTTCTGGTTGCAAACTCTGTTTCTGTGGAAAAGTTAGAGCGATAAGGGGATTTGTCCTGTGAAATGAGAATTTTCACAAATTTTTTGTTTTCGCGTTTCCATGCGAGATCAAAGCCTGCTAAAACAACATATGGACTTTTGCTGTGTCAGTAAATTCTACAGATTTTTTTCGGCTAGCTAGCGGCACTCTGCGATTTGCTGGCACCAAACTCAAAATCGCAAAATTGGAAGCGCCATATTCGAGAACTTCGTTCTTGATGTCCAGCTCACGGAATCTTAAGCTTAAACATCCATCATGAAGCGTAAGGCTTCTAATATTTTTGTCATACAAGATTGTGAATTTAAGTTTAGTAGTCTTTGAAAAGTTATTAAATTTTTTTTACGCAAGAACTTTCGTGCCAACCTAATATTTTGAAATTATTAAACAACTGTTTCAAAAATCCCTCATATTAGGTCGTCCCGAAAGTTCTTGCCACGATTTTCAAAAAATCATAACTTCTGATTTTTCCAAGCATAGATAGGAGCGATAGAAGAAAATCGGTCAAAATTTGAAATTTCTGTGTAGGGTCATAAAAAATCGGAAACTTGCAACAAAAATCGGAGCAGTCGATACCGTAGGTCATTCCACCAGCTTTTCCTGACAGTGCAACGTTTGCGCCGATTGAGCATCTCTAGGAAAAGTTATGATTTTCCTGAAAATGTCAAAATAAATCAAATTCGCCCTTTTGTATTGCTTGCTCGAAAAGCATAACTTTTCATAAAGACGCTCAATCGGCGCAAACTTTGCACTGTTAAAGAGAGCTGGTGAAAGAACCTATAAGACCGACTGCTCCGATTTTTGTTGAGGTCTCCGATTTTTTATGACCCTGCACAGAAAATTCGAATTTTGACTAATTTTCTTCTAGCGCTCCTATCTATGCAATAGATGACCAGAGCAAGAGCATGACTTATTCCTTCATACAAAAATGAAAGCAGTCAAATCGACGGGAAAACTCAGAAGTTATCTTATATATAAAGCTGAATGTCTGTTTGTCTGTATGTCTGTCTGTCTGTCTGTATGTATGTGTGTACGTATGTTCCGAATAGAAAATTCCATTTCTGAACCGATCGGGACCAAACTTGGCACACATACACTTCGGGCCCCGGCGGGTGTCATAGGCTACTTTTCGTCATCGATCGATATCGATTTTATCGATTTTTATCGATTTTTTTGCTGAGTTCACCTACGGGGCTGGGAGTTGGCACAGGGGGGTAATCGAGCATGCTGATTACGAATACAATATTGGTTTTCAGGGTTATCGATTACTTTTATCGATTTTATCGATTTTTTTGCAAAGTTTGAGCTACGGGGCTGGGAGTTGGCACAGGGGGGTAATCGAGCATGGGGATTCCGAATACAATATTGGTTTTCAGGGTTATCGATTACTTTTATCGATTTTATCGATTTTTTTGCAAAGTTTGAGCTACGGGGCTGGGAGTTCGCACAGGGGGGTAATCGAGCATGGGGATTCCGAATACAATATTGGTTTTCGGGATTATCGATTACTTTTATCGATTTTATCGATTTTTTGCAAAGTTTGAGCTAGGGGGCTGGGAATTGGCACAGGGGGGTAATCGAGCATGCTGATCATCCCCAAGGGGGGTGATCAGCATGCTCGATTACACCCCTGTGCCAAATTCCGGCCCCCTAGCTCAAATTTTCAAAAAATCGATAAAATCGATAAAAGTAATGGACGATCTTGGAAACTGATATTGTATTCGTAATCTGCATGCTCGATTACCCCTGTGCAAACTCCCAGCCCCGCAGGTCAAACTTTACAAAAAAAATCGATATAATCGATAAAAGTAATGGACGATCCTGAAAACTAATATTGTGTTCGTAATCAGCATGCTCGATTACCCCCTGTGCAAAATCCCAGCCTCGCAGGTCAAACTTTACAAAAAAAATCGATAAAATCGATAAAAGTAATGGACGATCCTGAAAACTAATATTGTGTTCGTAATCAGCATGCTCGACTACCCCTCTGTGCCAACTCCTAGCCCTGTAGGTGAACCCTGCAAAATAATCGATAAAAATCGGTAAAATCGACATCGATCGATAACGAAAGGTGGACTGTGACACCCGCCGGGGCCCGAAGTGTATGTGTGCCAAGTTTGGTCCGGATACGGCGGAGCCGGGTAAGCCAGCTAGTGAATTTTTAAAATCATGCGCAAGAAGTTTCGGGACAACCTAACAGTATTCACTTGACTGACATCCCTACACTTTGCATGTCATACAAAGACTTCAGTTTCGCATGTGTTTTGTACAGCGCTTAGCCAGAACCACAGGTGTTTCGCAGCAATAAAAACTGGCAATTCTTACTTCTACTGCTTCTTATCTGTCATATCGCCATTAGAATTGAAGAAAAAGCCAAATGCTTGAATGAGACGAGTATTGCCTGCTTTCTGTCATTTGATCACTAACTCGTTGCATCTGCAATATGGACAGTTACCAGAACTTGAACTGTTTTTCTTTCATAAGTCCTTGTTTTGAATAAAATAGTCTCTCTACCTCTGTTAGCAACAACTTTAGATCAAACTAACATTTCCCGCTATAAATGGATAGCATACATTTAGTTTTTTTGGAGCTAAGCCATTTTATGCAACCCAGAATGCAAAAATTCGAATACTGACAAAACTTTGCGCCCGTTATTTGCTTTTATTTGCATGGTAATCCTCGTTGGTTACGGTAGGTATATGATTTCGAATTCAAAAATTCAGCCTAGCGAAGGTTCTGACACGGCATGCGGATCACAAAAATCATATTCATTCTTCAGTGCTTATGTTGTTTTTATTATTATACTTCGATCCCAAAATGAAGTCCTTATCTTAGCGAGTGGGCATAACATTCATGACCAGCATGACCCTCTAAACCATTTCAGCGGATTTCGGATTTTACCTTTACCCTATACCAATCTTAATCTTACTGAAAAGGCCCGATCTGCAGGATAAACTGTTTACAAAATTAGCATATCAGTTGTGTGCAAAATCAACCAAACTGTTTTTTTTTGCAAGTAAGGGTTGTATAAAGTGGAATAGCACCCTTTCTTGCCACAAACTTTGGAAGAATTTGAAAGAAATCATACTTAATTCAGGCGGCTCTTCTGGACGAGCTGGCTCGGATACCGGCTAGGAGTCAATCGGTTGCTGCGCAACCTTATTACATGAGAAACGATGACACAGAGGAGAAGCCTGTGGTAAGTTGTCTCAGAGGGTTTTCTAGTTCTTTTGATTTTCCTACAGCTCAAAATTACAAATAGGATTTCTCAAATTTTTTTCACGTCAAAATTGAAGAAAGCTGTAAAAATTTTCATATGAGACTGCGCTCAGAGTTTCCGTGCCAACGCCATGCCAACACCGTGCTGACGCGCCCCGAAAACGTCGGACGATCAATACGAGGCGCATCCACATGCATGTTGGCACGGCGCTAGCACGGCGGTGGCGCACGGGCAACTTTATGTAGTCTGAGTGCTATACCTTTTTACTTTATACCATTTACCTGTAACTTGCCTGCATACCTTTTTTTGGAATATATTTTGTTGTAGGTGGTCGAACAGGCCCAGCGAGCCACTCCAACTCCCAGCTCAACTATCGGTGGAGGTTATCGTAGGCGGAAACGCGAAACGAAGTATGGCAGCTATAGAACACTCAACGATGACGCCTACAAGTAAACAATTTCCAAAGTTTCCTTTTCCCCCTCAGAAAAAACGGAAAAATATAAGCAATTCTCTAGCAGTGATATGGACGACCTATGCGATCCGGACTTTTACTTAAACTACCAGCCATCGAACCCTGTGAACAATAACAACAAAGCTGCTCCAAAACCACCGGAACGAACCCAGCCAGCTTCCACTAATTCGCAAAACCATGTCGGAACAAGAAGTGTTCAGTTGCCAAGGAAGAAATACGCACCATTGGAAGCATTCACGTAAGTGGTGGTTGTTCCGACTTGTGACAGTTGTCCCTTTCTGTAACACTTGTCCGGTTTTTATAACAGTTGTCCGCGGTAGCATAGATGCTTTTAGCGACCCGCTTGACGATATTTTGGCATCGACGGCCCCAATGTCTGCGACGTCTTGCGTTGACTTACGCGATCGCGATGCGCATCGCAATCGTAATTGTAGGAGTATCGCAGCGTTGACCGGACCAACGAAGTAAGGAGAAGATAAAAAATATTTCGTTTTAAATCTGGTAAAGTCCAGTCCCGAACGAGGGCGGATATGTCCACATAAAATAAGCGCGGCGCGGTGGGAAAGCGTCCGCCCTCGCGCTCCAGCGGTGGTAGGCGCTCGACTGCCTCGCGTCCGCTTCTCAACGATAAGCGGTCCGCCTCCGTCCGGGACTGAACCTTCAAACGATAATCAAAGATGTTAATAATTTACTAACGTTTCTCAGTTTTTGTCCAAATGTCTCTCCATCTAACAAAATTTAGACTTGTTAGTAATTTTTAAGAAATTCAAGGACATACGCGGAACGACGTGATTCGCCATATTTCCGGTGATTTCCTATATTAGATAGTGCAAGTGTTGTGAAATTCAGTTAGAGACTAAGACGGTCCTTTTGCAAGCCTACTGTATACTACCGTATCACGCGGCGAACAAAGCCGCATGCTTTTGCAATAGTATTCTTTTAAGATTTGAGCGCTCAGTGCTGTAATGCCAAAAGGGCGCACAGTGGTCTTCGTCTTGTTAAAGGGTCAAGCAGATTACGGTAGCATACGATATATGTGTGTGCAAAAGGTCCACTCTTTGCTTAGAATCTGTTTTTTCTTCAGCTTCGTTTTCCATTGTTTCCTATCCCTGTTTGTTGAGATTATATATGGCAGCATCCCCAAGATGTTTTCTATTTATGGGTGTCATTCGCATAGAACAGATTATCTGATAATGGACTTATTTTTATAAAAAATGGAAATGGAGAAAGAGAATATTTCTACCATTACTTTCTGACCTATTTCTGAATTTCCCAAAAAATCAAAATAACTTTACCTTTATCCCAATTTGTGTAATTGATCTTGGCTCTTGGAGCTTTTGGATGCTTGAATTGGACAAAAAAGCCGAGTTGTCTTGTAAACTTGATCTTTCGGAAAAAAAGGAGCGGAAATACTTTTTTTGTTCAAATGGAAAAATCAGATAAAACTTGTGAACTGCTTCAAAATTTTGTTTGGCTTCTTGAATGGCGTTGTTGGTGTTTGTGCGAGGTGTCATAATTCTTAAGAAACTTTCATAAAATTCATACATTTAGTGACCGACGGCTTTTTGCCGAAGATTACGATGCAGTGTCTGAAGCACGAGATCCAGATGATTGGTTGACGCACAAATTAAGAAAAGTGCAAAGTAAACGTGAAATCGATCCCGATCAAATGCGACGACGTAATCAGGAGAAAATGCTGCTTGAGGTAAAGGAATAAGAAGTTCTTAATTTCTGGTGTTTTTTTAGCATGCCCTCATAAAGGTGGCGATTCCCTACAAAGTCGGTTTCGCATCAAAGTCTGGCATTTTTCTCTTGAGCGCGAGCTGCACCGCACTCTTCGATTGGAGCGCGCTTTCTCTCATGAGGCGCAAATTTCCTAGCTAATCTGGAATCTTATAGGCTGTTAATTTTAGCCTTCTTGCAAAAGTAGCTAAAAACATGTAAGGAGCTATAATTTGGACTCCGTATGTGTGCTTTTTTTCCAGAATTTCCAGCTTGATATTTTCTACTTTCGTGCCTGGTTTTAGTGCAGAAAAACACATTCATGAATCACATGTGCACATGCAGTAAAGTAGAGCTGTTATCCTATGAAAAATGAACGTTCGAGGGCGGTCACAACGAAAAAAAAATCATTTATCGGTTTCTTCTTGGCATGTGCATGACCTTCTGGAAAATTCTGTAAAAATCATTTTTTTTCAGGAGCTCAAGAACGCCCACGAAAACGAGACAGCAACTAATGGTGCTCGTGACGAAACGTCATTTACTGTAGAAGGTATTTAAAAATTATGTTCCTTTCTCGGCAACAAAGATCAGTAAACTATTTTCTCATAAAAATAAGAATTTCGGGAAAATTCTGAAATTCTAACCTAAAGAAAGGTTTTAGGCCGTTTTGCACTACCGCAGGTAGGCTGTCAGCGTTTTCCAAAAGGGACCGCAAACTAAACGCGACGTCTAGTTTCGAGATTCCTGCAGCACACTGTCGTGCAAAACGGCCGGCCCTGCCTAAAATTTGAAAGAATTGCCTCAAAATCGACTTTTTAGGTGTAGGTACAAAAGATCCACTTGCTGAATACCGACGAGAAGAAGAACGTTTGAAAAATACACACAGTCCATTTGAAGACATGCCAAGGTAGGTTAACTTGGCAAAATGCCAAAACTCCTCGTAACTCAGAAGAATGAACAATCATCATAATTCAGACGAGGTCGGTTACGTAGTAAGCCACCAACCCCACCGCCGCGAGAGCGCAGCCGAAGTCCAGCTAGAAGTGAAAGAGCTACTCCAAGCATTGATGTGGGTCCTGACAAATTTTCCAGGTCCAGGCAGTTTGGCGCCTGATTTTCTTATATGGGTAATAGTTAGTAAGGTTTGATTAAACCACTGCCCAGGCGCCAGCTGGCTAATTCATAATGGTCCGAGGTTCCACTCCAAACTGAAATCTTGGCCGTAATCTCTCCTAGCTAACCAATCAGCGTTCTTACGGCAGAAAATACTGTCTGGGCTGGAGTTTAGAGTTATATCTCTCGGCTAGGAATGAATCATATGAGTTGTCGTTTGCGTGACGGCTCACTCAGGGTCTCCTAATTCCTTTCCACATAAGAAACCCAGGTTTTTTATCTGCCTGGATATTGTTCTAGACATTTCGTATGTAGGGAAAAGCAGCTGTCAAACCGTGATTCAGCAATTTTTAGCACATTCTGCACGTTACGTCATTTCTACACACAAATTTATTTTGTCTCTTTCATCTTCCGATCATTTCAGTCAGATTCATTTCAGAGCTACTCCTATAGGCATCACAATGGCGTACAAGAGTCGTCTGCCCATGATTTTTCCAGCTTGGGAAGCATTGTTTATGTAAGTAACTTGTTAAGTTGGAAGAATGAGGAAAGTGTGTACAAATGCAAAAAATTTTCTCTAACCGCAGCCATTCTCTGGCCCCTCAGTTCTCCATCGTTCCTGAAATCTACTGTCATTTTGCAACGATTCACAGCTAGCACAAAAGAAACGAGTGAGCTTTTTCTTTTCTCACTAGGATGAGAAAAGAAAAAACTTGTTCATTTCTTCTGAGTGAGTCTCTGAAAAGTGAGTGACAAGTCATCGCAAAGGGAAGGACACTTTCAAGTATATATCCTTTTGAAAAAAACCTTCGTTGCCTATTGCTTTCAGTTTTTGCAAACATTTTCATTCGCTTCCTGACGAGTTCTTGAAAAATGAAGCAGCTCCACTGTGAAATAAAAAAAATCTATTTACACCATTTTATTTTTAGGGAAATGGCTCATACTCATCGAAATCAGAACAGAACATCCCTAACGGTTACCTACCCTCATCTGCTTCGACAACACGTCGCGATTCGCGCGACTCGCGCGGAACGTCGCATTTCGAACCGCGATCCGAGTCGCGTACGACGCTTCAGCGGCGTCAGTCCTATGGTACCGACAGACCACCGTTCCAGTACGCTGATGCAACGATTCAGCGTGGAAATGAGCCGCCAAAGTTTTTCTCTGGGCAGGTACGCAATTGCAGAATTTTATACAGTCTTACGGGTGTGGTGCGGAAGGCGACAGTTTAAAATTTCGCACCGAAAAGAGATCACCATTGGCCAATACGGGTCCTGACGCGATATGGCGTAGAATTGGGCGGAGTTTCCAGTAGCTTGCTTTTTTGCTCTTACTGTCGCCTTCACGCACTCTCTCTAAAATTTCTTATATTATGCAAGTTTTTCTTTCAGGAACGTGTCGCAGCTGCAATTTATCGTGCTGAGACCCCACAACGTGAACTTTATGCTAGTGGAACTATTCATAGAGCCGAAACACCAAATCGTTACTATCCGGAAAATGTGGTCTTTTTTTTTCTTAGATTTCGATGTCGGAATGAAATCTATTGTTTACTTTATAGAGCGCTTTTTCTCAACGAAGTGAAACGCCAGCATTTCCAATTCTACGAGAAACACCATTGCCATTCCATCCACTTCTTTACGCTCAAAACGGTAGTCGACAAGATTTGGACACTACAAATACTACTACGAACTCCATGAATTATAGGTGAGTAGTAAAATTTTTAGCAGTTACAATACAGTTTTATATGCACAAAACTTTTCCTTGATTGGCACGTTTGAATTTTCCGGAATTTTTGTGTGTTGTCATTTGCGCAAAAAAAGTTCTTTAAGAAACCATATAACAAAGAAATCAATAAATAGTCATGCAGGATACGTGAGCATAATTTTTAAACGTAGAAAAGAGTGCTTTTTTTTCATTTTTGTTACTTCCGTAGATTCTTACTTTCATTGAGAATGAGAAATTGTTATCTGTTTCGCTTATTCGCAGATATCTGTGCATTTAGCTTTTTGTTTCTTTTCCTTCAGCTTTACTTTCTCTATGCAAAGATGATACTCCAAATAATCATGGTTAGGAGTTGAAAGTCTTCAACTTTTCCGCTGGCATGCCAACCTGACTTTTTAAATTTTTTAAGCTTTATGAACTTCCCTTTTAGGTCAGCTTCACCTCGCTCGCAATATATAGGAGGACAACTAAGTCGCCGCTCGTCGTTGGTGTCAGTTGGTAAGTTTTTTATACCAAGTGAAAACCGAACAATTGCCAAAAAATAGCGCTCTTCGCTAATCAATGCCACATAAAAAATTATTTTGATTGGACGGATTGACGTGACACAATCAAAGAGACTGGTGAAAGTCATGACCATCTTGGAGGTTGAGGACCGCAGAAAAAGTTTAAGGTGGCGCTGCTTCTGAGGGAGCTCAATGGATACCATAGGGTAACAGTATATGTTTCCGGTCAAAGTCTTTACCAGCAAATCAACCAGCGCCCTCGAATACGGTAGAAATACGGTCTGAATGGGCTGAGGGTTGGATTTTTTGGCCTTGAGTAAATCTTATAAGCTGCCGCTTGGCAATTTCTTGGTAAAGGTCGCCAGTTAGAATCACATAAGAACCGCGGTGCTCCAATGGGCCTTACTTGAAAGCCCAGAAATCTCTGAGTACAGCGGCTAAACGGTCCTTTGAAGCTGTAGGATTTGAAGATTCTCCGCTCAGGTAATTAATTGAAACTTCCGCAGAATGCTGGGGAAGTTCCGTGAACGTGCTGCGGAAGTTCCCTAATGAGGTGCCGCATAAGTTCCGAAGAATGGTAACCACAGCAGCAAAAGAGAACACCGAAGGAAGACTTGAACCTTACTCTATCGACCGTGAGACTCACCCACTAACCTCTGCATTACGACTGACGATGTTCGATAATGCAGTCTAGTTATTGGCGAGGCAACATCATATTAGACAACGCAGTCAAAACCCTGCGGAAGTACTGGCATGTCAAAGTGCTGCGGAACCGCTGGCATTTTTCGGAAATTCCGTAGCGCTTTGTATAAAGCCATATGGAAGTCCGTTTTGGTCCAGTCGAACGTGAAAATCCTGCGGAAGTTCCCATTTTCAACGTTTCCACTTTTGCAATAGTAAACAAAATCCTGCGAAACCGCTGCAAATTTTGCTTGCCCTGCGGAAGTTCCGGTGAGTTGTCTGAGCGGTTCTTCTCTTGAAACTCCACATGAGAACGTCTTGCCGAGTAAACTAGAAATAACTGCACAATTTTTGGCCTCGGAACGCAGTCAAAGCTCTTTACGCTTCTCCAGCTGATGAAGCATGCAGAGGAGCTGATTCCTATTATCAAAGCACCTTCTGAGCGAGGGACTCGATCTCTGGCGAGGGAGACGGAAACAGCACCGCTAATTTCATTTTGAAGCTTGTATTTTCCAAGCATTATGGAATTATGGAGTCTGCCATTCTATAGACGTAGTCAGACTAAACAATTTGCTATATATCCCGTTCCATTACATTATCACATTCAACTATCTTTTATGTCATTCTGAAAGTGCAAGCGTCTTGAAGATTCACACAATTAGACCATCAAAATGTTTTGGAACTCATACATATTTCTGCACGCTTTTCTATCACAGCAAATGCTATTCGAACATGTGAAATTCTGCTACTCTAATTTGTCAGTCAGGAGTACGTAGAAACGTTGAAAATGAGAACTTCCGCAGGATATTCACGTTAAACTGGTTGAAAATCGGAACTTCCACAGAACCTTCTCTAAAATCCTGCGTAAACTCCGGAAAATGCTAGAGGTTCCGCAGCACTTTGACCTACCAGAACTTCCGCAGGACTTTGAGTGTTGTCTCATGATGTTGCCTCCCCAACAACTAGAGTGCATTATCGAACATGTCAGCTGTAGTGCAGAGGATAGTAGGTGGGTCTCACAGTTGATAGAGTGAGGTTCAAATCTCGTTTATGTCTTCTCTTTTGCTGTTGTGGTTAGCATTCTTCGGAACTTCCGCAGCACCTCACGCGGAAGTTCTCTAAACGTTCTGCGGAAGTTCCGGTCAGTTGTCTGAGTATTTGAATGCAGGATAAAAACTGTGAAGTGATGTTTAACAGGACTGATTGCACTTGACCAATTTTACTATAAGATGAAATGGTCTTGATGATCCAATAAGGAATAGTTAAGATAAATTTTCATTTTATTTTCATATTTTATCTCAAGAAGTTTATGAAAACGATATGTAAAATAACAAAACAAAAATCAAATTTAATGAAAATTTGGGCGATTGCGCTGCAGTCACGGCCCAGGAGATTTGAATTAACACACACCTTTATGTCCTAGTAAGTAACGCTTCTCAGGCAGTTAGTATATAAGAAATCTATAGGGCCGGGCATACTTCACGCAATTTCAGTCGCGACGCGACTTGGCAATTCGCCAGAAGTCTTCAGATCCAACACTACAGACTGCACATGCATAGTGTGTATAACTTACACGGGGTTGATCAAATGCCCTGCCTTCTGCACATTTGAAATGTGCTTACACTGAGTAATGGACAGCTGGAACATTGCCAAATCGCGTCGCGACTGAAATCGCTTGAAGTATGCCCGGCCCTTATTTGTAAGACCGCAACTTGCCTGAACACTGCCTCCAATTTAGTGGAAGTCTTTACTTCGCTCCGATACACGTGTAGAGAACTGGTCATATTCCATTACATACTTCTTTTTCGCTTCTTATCATAACTTTCTACGGCGGTCGCTTAACCGGTCCGTTTCATTGCGCTCATTGTATCATGATATGAAGAACTCAACCCATTCTATGGCGCTTATCTGAAGCTGCATGACTTATTATCCCCCTTTTCTCTGGCTGGAGTAAGAAGAAATACTTTAATAGTCCCGGCCCCCATCAGAGCGGAATCAGCACTAGTTCTGGGTGGTGTTCAAGCGTCTGTCCAGCTCTGACACCCGTGAGTACAAATCGCAAAAGAAACAAGCCGATAAAGTGAGCATGTGTGCAACAAGCTAAATAAAACACTGCTGGTTGCAGCCGCCGAGTGAGAACATATGGCGATTTTGCAGAAAAAGTTATGAACTGGACGAATATTTGCAGATTGGGCTTTTCGGGTTTCACCGCTTTAGTACACTGAAACTACAACTCAAAATCTCGATACGAAACGGGCTAAAATTTTCTAGACTTAAGCAAAATTGAAACAAAAAATGTTCATAGTCACTAAACCAGACTATTTGAGCTTTGAACATTTTCAAAACTTATGGTGCCTTGACCTCAACAAATTTTTCATGATATGGTTCAAGGAATCTATGCTAACTCAAGCATTTCTAAAAACAAAAGTTGACTCTCACATCGTTATTTCTTCAAAATTTGGTCGTTAAGAATGCCAAAAGACCACAAACTACTATCTCACTTGTTATATTGGTTTCAACACCTCTGCTTAACTAAAAGAATTTTGTGATAGAAAAAATGTCTCAACATCGTGGTGCTATGATTTTCATAGTTTATTTTTGACTGCTTGATTTTAATCAAAATATGTCCTAAAAAGTTATTTTTATTGTTGTTACTCTCATATTGATTGGTAAAAATGTTCTGGCTCACAAATCCTAGTCTGATCTTTTATTGGAAAGGAGTTCAAAACGTAGTCAGGAAACAGATAGCAACCCATTCAGTACTCAGTTGCATGTATCGTCAAATTATCTAAGAATTTTAGCCGGAAAATTATAACTATAGAGATCTTCGGTTCAAGTGAAAAGTTCATTCACTAATTTTTCTGTCATTTATTCCCTGGAAAGAAGAATTACTTGGCTCATCATGGGCTAAGATAGATTAGCAACGAAAAAGCAGGCAGCTTTGAATATATCTTGGCTTTCTCTCTTTTCGCGTCTTCTCATTAACTTTGCAAAAATCCATCATTGATATAAATTTGACCCATCTATGATTGAATCTGCCACTGAATACCTTTTTCTCCCAGGTTTTCAATTTTGCCAGCGAGCCCTCTCCAGTCTCATATACAGACCAACCTGGTCACAGCTTTTGTTCGGAGAGTCGCGCGCGCCATGTTTGCGCCAACCTACAAATGCCAAACCTGTGTCAACAATGTCCTTTTCAAACATTCTCATACACCTAAGAAATCATTCTCGCGCCAACTGTAGTTGCCTAAAGAATCACAGGCACGGGGCAATAATTCAACACTTCTTCATAACTAAAAATCAAAGAAATCCTCAGTATAAAAAATAATACAATATCTTAGGTTTTGTCGTAATTTTTCTGCAGCGGGTTTGCTGAAATATGCTCCTTTAGGACGGATGATTTTGGCAGAATACCGCTTTGAAATCTAAAAAAAAGAAAATTCTATCTTGCACTAAGTTGTCAGCTTTCACAGTTTTAGCGCACCAAAAAATTCGCGACATTGCCAAATCATGAAGGAATTTCCTTTTTTGAGCTCTTTACTTTTATGGACTCTTAAGCTGATAGCATTCGAAAAAACGGAAGGCTTCAAAGATCTTATAAAGAGGGAGGTCTCGACGGTTTCGTCGCAAATATTTTTTCGTGACCCAGAGTTATGAGTTCGTCGCTTTATTTTTGCATCTAACATTCCTTTATTTCTGGATTCAATGAGCTGGGAAGTGATTTATGAGCATTTTTACTGATTTTATGCTAGAAATCCAAAGTATTCAATAAAATGTGCTAATGTGCCCTATCAGTCAACTGGAAAATCTTGTTAGATGGACATGCGACAAGTGCTTAGCTGAAAATTTATGGATCTTGCGATCTTCTGGCGCTTGTGGAAAAATTCGTCTCTTATAGAGATGGAAGCTTGAACTATGTGCCCTAGATGCAGCTCATACGATTTAGCTGTGGCCGAGAAATTCAATTTTGAATTCCCGCCTATACAGTACTTTCTACCGTACTCGAGAAAGTGATAGATCCGCTGGAGGCCTTTTCCAGTTAACAGTAAACTTATTCTGCTTTTTTTGCAAACTCTAGCAAAATGTATGTGAAAAGAATTTAGTGTATTCACAATCATTAATCACTCCAAAGGAATTTGTTTCTATTATCAATAAAAATTTTGGACCAACTCAACTTTTGCAGTTCTAAACAAAATCCAGTAATGGTAATAATTAATTCCTTAAGAACTTGCGCACGTATTCAAATGATTAACAAGAATTACAAAAATCTTTTTATCGCAAAATTTCTATCTCGTTTTCTCGTCGCCTTGCAGTGAACCCCCAAAAAATTCTCATGTCATTTTTCAGTTGTGCGCACTAAATAAACATTTTTTGTTTGATCAGTGTTCAATCTATTACATCGATCATAACATGCAAACACTGAAGATGCAGATATGCGATAATATTGAATTTTTGTTGGATTTATGATGTTATGAGATAAGAGAAGTAAATGAATAGCAATTCTTTACAAAATATAATAAAAAAAGTAAAAATAATGATGAAGTGATGAATGGAATTTAATGAAAGGTAGACGATAAAAAGTAAAATTCAATGAAAGGTTGAAAAAATAATAATGATTCAGAAAATGGAATATGGTAAATAAATGTACAAATAAGTGGAGAGAATTAGATGAGTTTGATCTTTATTGGAATAGTCTTAAGTTTTTTTTGGGACGAGAGAAACCTCTTGTCCTACAGAATTTATGCTATGAATCCGGAACCGGAATTTTTTCCAAAAATTCCTTTTAACCCCACTTGTTGCCGCTGATCCCAAGAGAATTTCGTGAGCGTCATTTGACACGACCGACCCGACGACGGCGGTGATGGCGAGCCGCCCGCCGCCTCGCCGCTCGGCCGCTCGGCAGCCGAGGGGCGTGGTCGGCAGCTTCACTCGTCCCACGCGAATCGCCGGCCGACGTCGTGCTGCTGCTGCCATACTCGCTGCGTTTCCGCTGAAACTTCCGAATTCCGTGTGTGTGTCATCCAACCAGCCAGCTCGTCTCTGCTGCTATAAATGGCATGCCAGGCCGGTCCATCCGAAGCCGCTGTGGTGCTTCACTTGAAGTCACGCGACATTTCGGACGTTTCGTTGGCGTCGTCCGAGTCGTCCGGTTGTTCTTCTGAGCGTTCATCGATACTGCGAAGTCCTGTAAACATGGAGGAGACACCTGTGCTGCACGGCACGGAAAGCTCAATCTCGTCCGATTTGCCGAAGCCGGACGTGACCAGCATGGAGTCGGCAAAGGAAGCCGACGCCGGCACGTCGTCACCGACGCCGGCTGTTGCGAACGCTCAGCTTCTGAAGAAGAGCAGTGGGTAACTTATCTTCTTGGGGCCCTAGGGAGAGGGGGGGGATTTATTTACAATCTCTGCTAGCCTCGGGGGGCTAGCTAATGGAGCGTCGAGGTTTACTGCGACAAGTCTAGCATGTGTCGTTGTACAGCGTTCTCGTAAAACTTATCGATTTGTGATCAATCGCGAGATCGTTTAAAGTTTCCAGAAAAAAATCAATAAAACCAGAAAAGCAAATAATTCATCAATTGCGCTGACAGTCCGAAATGATTTCTTAATTCATTTAGACACCTCCGAAATCATTCATCATCATCCGGTTTTCGTCAAGGACACCTCGAAATATTGGTATAAACCGACAATTTCTCGAGAACAAGGTGAGTAAACAGCTTTTTCATGTTTTATTGCTGTTTTAATATTACTCATTTGTTTGCATTCCACTTTTCCATATTACAAAGAAAAAAATGCGCTTCAAAATCGATTTTCCGGCTTCTCTTCTCACAATTTCCAGAGCGAAATGCAATAACTTTCTTCTAATAGCTTTTCTTCTCGTGTCTGGAACTTCTGGAATTTTCTCATTTCCCCCTCTTAAATTTGTCCTTTTGCAAAAACACAATGGGAAAAGAATAAACATAAATCAGAACAGCCATCTGCTGAATTTAACTACTGTCCTTAACTTCCTCTCTTCTCTCTTTTTTGATTGATGGCATAGTTTATCGTCTCGTTTCGTCTTGAATGATGAATGGTCATTGGAAATCTATTTCTGATCGGTCGATGATCTTATGAATAGAAATGATTCATTTCTTCTCGCTCTTATAGAATTCTAAGGTCAACAAAAAAAATTGTTTAGACAATATTTGTCTTTCTGACGGCAAAATGTTGTCAAAACAACTTCTAGAATCATTTTTCTCGATAGAATTCGCACCCACAAACTAAATAAATATCTCATGCACTGCAGGAATGTCCTAAAAACATGAGTACCTTTTTATGTAGCACTTTAATGCCTTGTCACCTGAGCGGAACCATGCTTATGTTAACAGAAACGCATACCATGGCAAAACCATGATGTAAAATGCGTCTTAGCTTGCAGGGACTTTTGTTTTGAACTGGAAGTTTCTCAAGCTTGCTTTTCTTCAAAATGAAACTCAGAAAATATTGTTAGAAAACGAAAGATTAATCTAATTAGCAAAAAAATTACGAACGAAAATTTTTACACTCGTATTTCGGCAAAAGAAAGACTCAACTTTCAATGTGACGTCTTACACAGCAGTTTTTCATATATTAAACTGGGAAATACTGCACTATAGCTCACCAACTTGACTATTCATTCTTTTATTTTCAAAACGATAATTATTATAATCGAATAAATTGAACTTGTCTTCTGCGTTCTACATGGGGTCCTTCCTGAATGTTAGTTTACAAAAGTTTGTGTTCATTTACCTTTGATGTTGTGATAAATCGGTTGAGCTTAGAGAAAAGGAATATTCTGTGGAAAGGGGAAAGAATAGAATAGCAAAGAGAGAAAATTTAGAAGGGCACTTTTGCATCAAAGTATGACTGAATTTAGCAGAATCTCAAGCTTTTTTCTGCAACGCAAAGAAACCTTTCCTTGTCTTCCGACATTTTACAAAAAGAATAGTATTACTTGAATTTGGGGAAGTTGTGGAATTGAATTTGCAGAATTATGCAAAAAATGGATAGGGGGGGGGTTCATCTAGTATCCTAGCGCTGTCAGTTCGTTCTCAGCAATCTCGAGTTCTTTAAAACTAGTTCAAAAAGTTCTTAAGCGATTACCCCGTCACAGAAAACATCAGTGATTACTAATGGTCTCTCAGGAGTTTTGCATTTTTGTATCATAAGAGCTGGCCCAAGATTCTCTCTTCGAATGCGGAGAGGAATTTGCTTTTATTTTTTTATTTGAAATTGACTTGCTGAAAATAAAATTCCAGCTGTTGCGGTGTGGCTATGTTTGATAGAGGAGAGGAATCAACTAAGTGTGATCTAGGCCGATCTTTGCAAAAGCCTGTTTCCCCTCTCTCTTTAAGAATTACAGGCTGACCCCCCCCCCTGTGATACATGGCTCCAGCCCTAAACAATTTATCATCCCTCGCTGATCTTCTGCACCCAAGTTGACATCACTCTTTGGCCCCAATCCATCCCGCTGGTGCCGCTATTCGCTCGCAACAAAAACAGCTGCGCTCTGGCGGCTCAGCTAGCATCTCGGCCGGTCCATTCCGCTCCCGAAATCGCATTTCCGAAAGCGATTAGGGCAATGTGTGCTTCGGATGAAGAAACTTTTATGTGCGTGACTTGGAGGTTTCGCTCTATTCTAGCTATTCATAGATCACCACCATTGTATAGCTTCAGCAGCTCCGGCTACAGCTGCTCGGGTCAGGTCGGACCATTCAGGTCAGCCGCAGCTGGCGCGGTCGACCCGACACCGTTGGTCCCCAGAGCCTGTTGACCGTGATTGTTAATCCCCTTTGGAGGTATACAAAGACACTGTTGGTTCTGCTAGGCTGTTTGGGTAGAGTATTGAGTGAAGCGACCACCCCCCCCCCCTCCCTTTCTCACAGGTTTGCCCCAGTCGTTGGAATTTCTCGCTCATTGTGTAATATCTTACTCATATTCGGGCTGGCACAGACGCATACTCTGCAGATTGCAAGAAGAAATGTGATTCCGCTCCTGTTGAGGCCCATATTTTCCAGGCTGCAGAAAGGGAAAGGTGGGGGGGGGGAGGGACTTGCAGGACTAGTTTGAAGTGAAGTCATGGTCACGCTGTGTTATGTTACATCAACTGGAAAATCGCACTTGTAGAAGTTCTTTTGGACCTTTACAACTGGGAAGAAGAAGTAGTTGAGAAGGAGGGGAAGATAGAGTGGGGGGGGGGGAGGGGTTACGTGTCAGAAAAACAGCAGCTGAGCCTCCATCTAATTGCTTGAGTAAGTCTGATAAATGAGAAAAGGAGAGAGGGATTACAAAGGGAGCCGGCAAAACTCTAGATGCCCAAGTATTTTTCCAAATATGTATTGTTTAGTAGATTTGACATTTGATGGTGTCAATACGGTGCTGACAGCTATTGCGCGGGAGGAAAAATGCGCCTGCAAATAACCATAACCATCTAATTGCTTGAGTAAGTCTGATAAATGAGAAAAGGAGAGAGGGATTACAAAGGGAGCCGGCAAAACTCTAGATGCCCAAGTATTTTTCCAAATATGTATTGTTTAGTAGATTTGACATTTATAATATCTGGGAAGCTTGGGGACGTAGACTGTTGGCTTTATGGGGAAAATGTGTGTAGATTGGGGAAATTTTCTCATGATAGAATTTTTTTTGTTGAAACGTGCCTTTAGTAATAGTATAGTTTGACTCAATCAGTTCGTCCCCTCTTTGCAGAATTTTTATGCTGGTCCATTTTAGTATCCTTTTAGAATTTAGACCTTTTATAATAGCAAACCGTAATCTAGCGACGACCCCCCCCCCCTCTTTAAAACAACAAACGAGGAGCTGCGGTAGTCTCAATGCAGTAACCGTAAGATTATAGAGGCTTAGATGGGAAAAAAGAAACTATTTTATCTAACACAACTTTATATCATAAACTTAGCCTAATCTTCCTTATTTGAATATTGCAATTTTTCCCGCAAAAAATAGTTCTGAAGTGAATAAAATCGTGTTCAGTGTCTTACAGTGGTAGAAAAAAGTCACACAAAATTCTCTGGTTTTTCTCTGTTACGAAGGAATTTGGTAAAGTAGGGGAAATCTAGAAAAAAAATTTCAATTCATAGAATGTGAATGCTTGAATCACAAAAACACTGTTTTTTCTTAAGAAGTTTTTACTTTTTTAAAAATTTGTTTCATTTAGCCTATGAAAAGAATTAGAAATGGCCAGAACTTTGGTGGATATCAAATGGTTGGTGTAGTTTCTTGAGGTGAAATGCATTGCGGGAGTATCTCTGTAAAGTAGATCAAAATATAGCATTCCTCAAGTTTGGACCGCCCATTTACATCCCTGCTCTTTCGCAGTACCTCCCGTTTGCACATTGCAGTACTTCCAAATAAGCAAAGTGCACGACACCTAGAATTCGCTGCAAATCCGCAAATTTACTTGCGTAGATTACGGTAGTAATTACTGCACTTTCTTTGCGCGCCTTTTCTTCGAACCAAGTCTTTCATCTGGTCTACACACCTAACACGATTTCTAGAACAAGTAAATGACATCTTCCCTCGACGCCAGACGAAAATTGGCGCACGATTCGATTACGTCGGAGGCGAATTTACTGAGGGTGGGCAAGGTGAGAGAGAGGAAAAAACACATTGGCACAATTGCTTCTGTGAAGCCATTAAAGGGAGAAGTGGTTGGGACGGGGAGGGGGGGGGGGGAAGGGGGAAGAATGTGTAAAGAGCAATTAGCAGTCAACCTCTCACGTTTCAAAGTGGCAACTGTCATTAGCTGTTCGGAAAGAAAAGGGCGGAAAGGAAGGGGAGGGGGGGAGGGGGAGAAGGGATCAAAATGTTTGAGAGGTCACTCAAACTTATTTTTAATTCTTATTTACGCCCATCAGGCAATATACTTTGATTTTGGTTATTATTTAATATTTTATCTTTGTTAAAAACGAAAATTAATTTTTTAATGACGCCCATAAAGCAATGTAGTTCGATTTTGAATATTTTTTTGTAATTCATCTTCGTTATAACCTCTTTGTTAACAATCGTGAAGCATCTTACAAAAAAATTCCTGTTTTATGCAGCCAATAAAAAAACGAGGAATAGCCGGAGTGTTGTTGTGTTCCTGTAAACTACCGAAGAAGTTTTCATAGCATTCGAAGGGTAAATTGTACAGCAGTTGTTCATGCGACTTTCCTATTTTCTTTTTTTGCTGGTTTTTGCGCGAAAAATTGATGTGAATTTGTGATTTAATCAGGTTCAGGAAGCTATGGAAAATTTTAAATGTCCAAGGCTTTGCTCGGGAACTTCTGGGCTTTAGATCAGGAGAAATAAGTAGTTCGAAAAAAGATTGAATATTGAACGTTCACTATGAAAAAGAGAATAAATGATGCTTTCATTTTGGACCCTAATCAATTTCAAAAACATATTTCAAAAAATGAACAACTAAGAAAATAATATTTATTTGTAATTCAAATGCAGATGAACTTCAAACGAGTTTACTACTTCATTTCTGTAAAATCTATCTATATAGTTACACAGTTCCTATGTTTCTCGAGTTTTTTTCATCTCTTAACCATTCTTTCCCTCTTTCAACTACTTATCAAACGTAAATAAAAATCTGGCTCTTTCCACCGTCTTTCTTCTTACCTTTTGACGTTGTACATAGACTTTGACCACTGATCAGTTTTTTACTTTGTCAGTTTGCTATGTTTCTCTTTTTTATTGCTCATATTCATTCACATAAAAGACTAAAGCTCTGAGTTCAAAAATGATGCAGTTTGGACTTGCAATGATGTCGTCTGCTTGTCATATTGTATACCCAAATCTTCTGGCGCTAGGAAATATAATTACTTTGCCAAACAATAGCTGTGTCGGTGTGCTTGGGGGTGTCAATGTTTCCGTAAGCGGGGTCCAAAAAAAGCTGGATACCGAGTATGTTACGTTAAAAGTGCTTGGGGGATCTTCTTCAAGCTACTACTCCAGCAGCAGCTCACAAGTATCATTCTTTGCCGAGAAATTCAACTCTAAACTCTCGCCCAGACCGTACCTTCTCCCTACTCGAGGGCGCTGTCTGGTACGGTTTGGGCGGGAGTTCAAAGATGTGATTTTCCCATTGAGTTTTTCATTCCTGATTCAACAAAAATAATTTTCTAAAAAGTTCAAATATTTTCTTTTTTTCAGCTATCAACATGTTGCGAGACAAGGCCCCTGGTACATTTGTCGTCCGAGATTCCAACAGTTTTCCCGGAGCATTCGGATTAGCCCTAAAAGTCGCCACACCTCCGCCTGGAGTTGCGCCAGGTTAGCTTCGTTCTATTTGTCCACGAACTTCGTCTCGTCCTGAATGGATCAGGCAAAACAAAGCAGTTACGGGTGTTTGTTCAGCACAAGCAAGCTGAAAGCATGTACATATTAGTCATGTATTGAAATCGAATGCCATTAGTGTCTAGACTACAGCAGGGAATAGTAATATGTACAGAAACAAAAAACGAAACTGACTCATTTGCGAGGTGATTCATTCATTTCTATAGCTGCAGTTGAGCAATGTTTTTAGATACTGTAATGTTGCGAAAAGTACGCATTAGTACAATTAGTACAGCAATGACAGTAAATTAGCAAAAATTCATTCAATTTGGTACGGATAAAGTCAAAATTTGAGCTCATTGCAAAATATGAACCTACAGCAGAAAGAAAAATGTGTTATAGAAATGGAGAGCTCATAAAAAGGATTAAACAATGCGATAACTTGGTAAATGTATTCTTTTGAATTCTATCGGTTATGGATCGCTGAAAATCGAAAAAACTATAATTTTCAGCTGTTTTAAGTTATTTTCCGAGATATTATGTTTGGGAATAAAAAATAGCCATAATTTTCGTAATAACTCTTTTAGAACCTGCTTGTAAGGTTTTGCAAGCTTGTAACTCCAAATTCTTGAAAAAAGAGAGCGCGGGGGCAACCGAGAATTTTTCCTACTCACAATCAATTAATTCGATTTTTACAAAATTTACAAAAACACTACCATTCTTGTTCAAGAAGCCAGCTTAATTTTGAGCCAGAAAAGCTTTTTGTTAGGTACTCCTTCACTAACTAAACGTATCATATTTTTTTCAATGGTAGATCTACTAGAGCAAGGCTTGGACTTTGTATTTATATCAATAAACTCTGGGAATTAATTCTCAGATAGCTGATGGGACCTTCAGCAGAACGTTTGAGAAAGCTCCGCCGGGACGCCTGCAGAAGTTTCCGTTTACAACCAGTCTGGCGTGAATCTGCGGAAATACCCATTTTCAACGTTTCCACTTATGTAACAGTTAACAAAATCCTTCGAAACCGCTGCAAACTTTACTTGTCCTGCGGAATCGCTGCAAATTTTGCTTGTTCTGCGTAAGTTCCGATTATCTGAGTCGACTTATGTTGTCGAAAATCCTATTTCATTTTATGTAATTCAAAAGAATTTGTGTAATTCTTAGCAAAGTATAAATATACGATTATTCACGCTTTGCATCTCATCAATAGTACATTTGCTTTTTTCCTATACTTTACGCTTTTCCATAGTGCATATGCAAGCTCGAGCTCTTCCATTCTATTCATATAATCCTTTGACTAAAATTAGCTAAAGAATGGGGGGAGGCAGGTGATATCAAGCTCCACTTCATTACGAAAATTAATGATGACTTCTAATTGCTGGACTCTACAAAAAGCTAAACCGATAGCTGTAAGCAAAAGTCAAAAAAAATTTCAAAAAATTTCTTTGAATTTACGAGGGGAAATTTTTAATAACATAGAATTGGAGTAGAAACACTTGAATTATTCTGAGAGAATTCCGTTATTTTTTGCAACAAAAAAATAGAAAGTACGTATTTGCACAATTTCCGTGCACAAGTGTCTATTATACATGTCGTGCCTCTTTCGCAAATGGACACTGATGTCGGAATGTGATCATTTATGAATGGGGTGCTTTGCGTGCTCATGATGTATCATGTCCTTCACTGACGTTAAAGAGGGCCCAAATCTCTCGAGTGGGGTAGCGGGGGGGGGGGGGGGAGGGGTTGAGAGCTCATCATTGTGAGAGTTCCACAGAAGACACAACTTCAAGGTAAATTTTTTGAATTTTTTTCCTGAAAAATTTCGTTTTCGTCTGGGCTGTAAAATATAGAATTTTCACTTGCTGCTGCCAACCAGCTCGCAGCTCCCCGTCGGCGGAGAGCCAAAAATAATGTCCCCAGAGAGAAATTCTTTGATTGATGCGCATTTCGTCGTCAATGGCATCAGTGGTTGAGCTTCGCATACATCCAAGTTCTGAAATGTGATTTACGCTTGAGATTACGCCGACGAGCATCAATGATTGTAGCTCAGACACGAGCCCTTTTTGGACATCAGTTGGGGCCGATTCGGCTGAAATAGAATTTTTTGGGGTCTATGTTGGTCCTAACTAAGTTGTCGTTTGGAGGGAAATTGTTTGCGAAAAAAGCTTTAGCAGAAGCTCCTCAGAAATATTAATAAATGGATATGCGAAGGTTAACAAAATTGAAAAACGCAAACAAAAATGCCGGGTTCACAGAAAATAAAAAATTTTTACCGAGCTTGCCGTTTACCCTTTGGACTATATGCCATTCGTTTTTTATATGGAAGTTCATCACATCAAAGTATTTCGGAAATTTTGCGGCCTTTTCTTTGGAAAGCGGGGGGGAGGGGGAGGGAAGTGGCCAATTGATTTGTGAAAAAAAGGAAATTCTGTAGACTCGAACAAATCTTTTTTACTACTCAAAAAGGTGTACGGAATTGGTTATAGAAAAGATAGCGGGGTTTTTTAATATTTGATTCTGTTAAGTTGAGCGAAATTTCGCGAAAATTCTGAGGATGTTTTGCAGAACTTCTCCCGATAGTCTGCAAAATCTCTGAGGAAGCTTTCTTATCCGAAAATCGTTCTTTTTTATGGTCTTTCGAAGGCTTAGCCTGCGGAAGGTTTGCTCATCTGTTTGAGTCGTTGATGTAAAAAATATACCTCGTAACAAACAAAATCTGATCTTTCATTTCCAGGTGATGGTACTGAACTCGTCCGACACTTCCTTATCGAGCCGTCGCCAAAAGGAGTAAAACTAAAAGGATGCAACAATGAGGCACGTTCTCCTATTTTCGTGACACATATCAAATTTCTTTGCGAAAGGACGAAGAGCAGTCGTAAATGACAAATGGCCAGCCTTAGGGGGCGATTGGGGGCGATTTATACGCAATTTTGTTGTCTTGCTAGACATATTCATTTGTCATTTTGAAAATGCGGCCGTAAAAGCCAGCAAAAAAAGCACGAAAAACAATATTTTTCTCGAATTTTTTCACTGGATTGATCTATTTTTAGCCTGTTTTTGGATCACTGTCAGCTCTCGTTTATCAACATTCGATCACCCCGTTGGCATTGCCAACAAAGTTACTTCTTCCTGACTATGATCCAGCCACCACACCTGAGCATGTCTCAGCTACCCAAGCTCTTTTGGAGCAAGGAGCAGGTTCGTACCTACTTTTTCTGTAAAAATTGACCAAATCCTCTTAATTTCGAAAAGAATAATTATTTCTCAACGACTTCGATTTTCTTCCGCCGCAAGAAATGCGACACCTTTGTTTACTTATTTTTCCTTGGCGTCTTGTGTGTTTTGGACGAGCATTGGATTTTCGAGTGTGAAGAAGGGGCGCGAAGTAAACTTATCGCTCATAAATATTTTGGACTTTGTGTAATTTGAGACTAAGAATTAATTTCGAACTCAAATTTTCTAATTGAAAGCGAAGATTTAGAATCGCTGGTTCATATCTTGTTTGTTTGGCGAGTATAAAGAGAGGAACTGAAAAGCTTTTCTACATATTTGGCTAATGCTACTTCTCAGTAATCGTTTCCCGATCACTGCTGAAAAAATGGAAGAAAGAATTTTCGATCTTGAGTAAAATGTTCTGTACGTTAGATAATAGTCAGGAGCTGTGATTTTTTTTTGAAAAATTGTCCCTTTGAGAAAGCTAATGGCATCGCGATGGTTTTTTCATTGTCATTCCCTCGCATCGGGAAAACCGTCAGTTCTTCTCCAACTTTGTGTATACTATACTTTTGAGATTCGTATTCTCTTATTTCCATTGGAATTTTTTTTACAAAAAATCTGGTAGCGCAAAAATTCTTGAGATGAAAGATCAAATGTGGTTTGGTCTGCAGCTGAACAGTTGATATTTCGACCATTAATATGTTTTTGAAGAAGTAAGAGAGTTTCAATGAGTGAAGAAGCCACGAATTCTCAACTTTACAATTTAAAATTCTTGATTTTCAAGTATGTAATGTTACTCAGAAATTTTTTTCTGTGTAATTCCAAGGTTTTAGCCTGCAATGTCGCCTACATTGGCAGCATCGATTGTGAATCACTGACCGGTAGTGAATGTGTTCGAAGAGCTGTGGCACGAACCGTTGAAGATACACAACGAGGCCTATCTCGACCTGTTTCTGTTCATTTCAAGGTAAGGAAGATATAAGCTTTATGGAAGCACCCCTCTGAATTTTAGTAAGGAAAAAAGTCTCCAATTTTAGGTGTCCTCCCAAGGCGTAACGCTTACTGATAACACTCGAAAAGTGTTCTTCCGTCGGCATTTCCCCGTTAACACTGTGATTTTTGCCGGTATGGATCCTGCGGATCGAAAGTGAGTTTTTTTTTGAAGATTTGAACAGATGAATTCATGCTTTTGAACTACAAATTTAATAGGATCCGAATGTGTACTGACCTCGCCGAGGCGATTCTTTTGATATATCGCTTGCTAAGCCATCTCAGTACTGTAGCTGTGCGGTAGAATGCGGTTATTCATTGATTTGCCTTGTAAACATCCACACATAAAAAATAAGCACATCCCAACGCACACTTTACTTTATCACGTCAGATTATAAATCAAAAGAGTTGCCTCGGCTTAACGATTAACTAGTCTGCCTTTGGATCTAAAATTCATGAATTTATACAAGAAGCTATGTCAAATTACTCAAATTCCGTCTCATATGATTCATTAGCTGCCAAGAGATTCACTTTCAAACTCTCGCCCAGTACCGTACCCTCCTCCGCGGACCGAAGTTAGAGTACGGTACCGGGCGAAACGAATATTTCGTTCACGAATGAATTTCATGAGCTCCTACTTGAACAACTGCTTAGTGAAGCCTTCTACTTATTTCCCACATAAAAAACCCGGGATCTACCAATATTTGAGTTTCTTCTTTTCAACCAAAGTATTCGTTCCAGATTCGATAACTACTGTGTGATTGGGTATCACGACGCATGCGTTAAGAATGCTCGATTATTTGCTATTGTGGCAAGAAAGGTAAGCTCTAAGTTATTTGAAAAAATTTAAATATCACAGATTGAAAAAGGAGAGCAATAGAATGGCATTTATTAGATCCGACCGAGCGATTTGAAGCTATTTTTAGGATAAATTTTCTTTTTCAAATAAGGGTATGGGGTGCAAGTTTTTTGAAAACTGTAAGGCTTGAAATCGATTAATGAAATTAATTTTCAGCCATCATCCATGGAAAATGCTTGTCATGTATTTGCCGAATTTGAACCGGAACAGCCAGCAACAGCTGTGGTGAACTTCATTAATAAAGTTTTATTTGCCAATAGGAGATCATGACCGGCTTGATTGAATGCTTTGTAAAACAATAGTGCGATGTAATCTTCAATTTGTTATCTATCAGTTGACCTCAAAAATAAAGGAAACCGTCGAGATACGGTAGTCTTACGGTAGCAGGATGTCCTATTTGTTGTCATGGAACGATTTTGTAACAGTAAAAAGCGCACTTTTCTAAGATTGTTATCTTTTCGCTGATTTTCTAAGAATTCTCGGCACGATTCATTGTAATTATACTGTATTTTATATATTTCCTACATCAAAAATATTGCTCAGAACTTCATTGTCACAACCGCTGCATTTGTTTGTACTTCGCATCAGAGCGCATTTTTCCAAACCATTGAAACTTTTTCTGCTCCATATTGTGCTAGAAACGGTGCTTCACAGCTTTTATATTGAATCAACAGTTTATTTTTGTTGCTATAGAATTTTTCCTTTATACATATGTTCCCTTCCCCTCCCCCTCTTCCCAACTATGAAATTATTGATTTTTCAAAAAATCATACTGTGTGAGTACTGTATTCGTTTCGTTGTTTCTGAGATTCTAAGCCTTATCGAGTGTCTTCGCGGTGAACCGGATCGCTGTCTTAGTGCTTAAGACTCTAGTCAACGTTCACTCCGTTCAAAAATAGCTGAGCAAAGTTTTTATTTTATCGATTTACTTGTATATATGAGTTAATAAAGTATTGCCACTTGTTTTTTCTTGATGTTGTCAATTGCTTAAGGTTTATACAGAGTTTTTGCACAGTATAAAGCTATATTGGTCGAACTACGTTCACATCGCGCACCGCGTTCGTTCTTTTCATACTACTCTTTTTCACCAATTTCAGGTTCACCGGACATAACGATTTTATGACTTATAAATGTACGCAAGGTTTGAAGGCGGTTTACAAATAGCTAAAAATCAAAAATTCTAGTCTTCTATCGATAAGGACCACTTTTGCAGGGCATCACTTTGAAGTAATTAACAGACTTGTCGTTCCTATCAAAAGTCAAAACCTCGAGGAGTGCTACTGGGCGACTTTTGTGTGATAACATCAACTCAAGCCGAAATGGATGAGTGTTTTAACGTCTTATAACCGTCCTAGTACATCAGGCTGACCCAAGAAACACCACGTAACGTGTGTTTTGCATGTCAAATGGTATCGTAAGGGAACCTTCAATACTGACCCACGCCAACTCCGAAGAAAGTAATTCCTCTTTGTATCCCGTTTGTTTGACGAACTTACGCGGTGATAAGACAGTGAATACACTAAACACAACTGGAAAATGATATAATGAAGAAGCAGCTAGTTCGGAATAGGCTATACTATAGCGAATGCGTCCTGAAGTAATGCATTGTCAATCCCTATGGAAGATTAGGAGACTGTGTAAAGGCAGGTGTAGTATACCAGTTGGAGTGTCTCAGATGTCACTGCTACATGGGAGAGGCGAGTAGATTGCTAAGCATAAGGCTAAAAGAACATCTAGCAGGATTAAGACGAGGAGTATAAACGACACCGTTGGGGCGACACAAAGCTGGGAAGCACGATAGAATTGACTATATCGTGAAATGCACTATATTGTCTATGAGACTGAGATGTGCGCAAGAAAATCTCTTGAAGCAGCGTGGATTAGCGCGAGGAAACTGGAAATGAGTTTCAAAAATGAGTGTGTGTCTACCAGCAGTGACCTTCTGCCGTTTTCATCGTTATGCAATCTAACAGCCGCACATAAAAGCATTGATTCACTGGTGATGCTCAGTGAGGTCCATTACAAGCTGTGCGGGCTCACTGGAATGCAATGAACTCAAGGTCTGCTCGTTTCTTAACCTCCATGGTTTCGTGTTCCTATCCTTTGACTAGGTCTAGACTGGCAGAGTGTGAGAGGAGGATCTTGGTGGTGTATTGTCCAGATTAAAGTAAATCTATGATCCTCGTTCAGACCTCTGAAGAAGACGAGACAGTCGAAACCGTCAGGTCTAATAAAGAGATCCACCAGCAAACCTGGTTTGGCATAACACGGTATATTACAGTCTGCCCCAATCCTAACCAGGCCAAAATCGGCACGGCGGGAGTCCGCGCCGCGAGGGTTTCGCGCCACATCTGCGGCTAGCTAGTCTGCTCTCTCCTCGATCTCTTCACTCTCTGCGACAGCGCGCGTATGCAGCGCAATCCCCTAGCGCTGCGAGCGCGCAAATCAGCTGACGGTTCGGCCTGATTCCGATTGGGGCAGACTGTACTGATCTCGAGGAGTGTTTAGCTACGAGAATCTTGCAAAATTGATAGCTCGAGAAAGGTGAGTATGTGAAATAAAATGAAATATGTTACAATATGGTCATGTTCTGAATAGCCCCTCCCCCCAAGTTGCTGTCTGACTCCCCCCCCCCCCCCTAAACTAGTGCATACCTAAGTAGGCATAACGTAGGCCCTACCAAGCATAACGTGTAACCATAATAAGCATGTCAAATAGCTCCAGTGGGCCAAGTTTGAGCAAATTCTGGTCTCCAAATAGTGGGCTATCTGAACGTCATTTTCGTGCACAATTAACTTTAGTTCGGAAGTGAGTTAAGCACCTCTTTAGGCCTCAAAAACGCACTACTCCTTCTTTGTTCATCTTGAAAATCTCGCTTGAAAAGACCTCCAAGCTGTGGATTTAAAAGCCAAATAAAATCTCGCTTTTCCGTTTTTGCCTTTGGTGGCTTTTGGTGTACTTCCACCAACTATTACTCAGAATAATAAAGATGGATCAGGCTTAAATCGTTCCTATGGAATCTACGAGATTTAGGCTATCGAACCATATAAATAATGCTCGCTAAAAATGTTTTTTGACATAGTTAAAAAGGTGTGACACAACTCCAGAAAGGGTGTGGCAGCTACACTCTTTCGGGGCAGTGCCGCGCGCCATTTACTTGCCTTGAGAAACGTTTTTACCGAGTAATATTTGTATGGTTTGATAGCTTAAATGTCGTAGATTTCACAGGAGCGTGATTCGTCTTCTTTGCTCTGAGTAATATTTGGTGAAATTACAGCCGCCAAGAGCGAAAATGGAAAAACGAGATTTTACTTGGCTTCCAATTCCACAGTTTGGAGGTCTTTTGAAGCAGATTTCTAAGGTGGGCAGAGAAGGAGTAGTGCTTTGTATTGAGTGCAGAAGAGGTAGCTAACTCACTTTCGAAATACAGTTGATTATTTATGAAAATGACCATTTCATTTAGATGTGGCCCAGTATTTGGGGACCGGAATTCGCTCAAACTTGATCTACAGGGGCTATTTGACATGCTGATTATGATTATATTCGTTATGCTTAGTAGGGCATCTTTATCATGCTATGGTAAGTATACGATGACGAGTCAATATCTTTGTGAAAACTGCTAACGTGTAATGTGTTGTCACTATTATCCCTACCCCCCAGGTGTGACGTGCCATACCCCACGCTTTACCCTGATTATAATGAGAGTATATATTTCTCACTGAGTCACTAGTCTGGTTTTTGTAAAAAGCCTGTCTCAGCAGAAAAAAAATGCCCTAATTTCCTTTTTCTTGAATGGATGTCGAATTGTAAAATGTGGTATATCACACCACAATTTTCAAGATAGTTCTTGTTGTGGTATTACGTATCCTTGCTCTAAGCTTCTAATTTCGTTATAGCATTGCATTCAGAGAACCGTAGTAAATATTGTCACAGTCAAAACATGCCTGAATCTGCTGGAAGTTGAGCAAACGGCAGTTCAAAGATATGCTATTCGCGATATACTCGATTCTTGTAATGCATACTGCAGAAATAAAATCAGTTGTAGAATGAGAAATTGTCAATTTTGATTTGCCTTTCATCTTGCTTGGAAGCAACATTGCCGCTAAGTAGCGCCGCATGCACTTCTATGTGTTGTATATAAGCTGTACTAACCGCAATCGGTCGTGGCGGACCTCGCGATGAGGTTACGCGCGCACGCAGCACACTGGCGAAGTTGCGCTTGTAGCGCGCAATCTAGGCACGAGCCAAGCAGTTGTTCGCAGATGTGGCTATTTTAACTCTTGCGAATGTATTTAAGCTTATTATTGCAAAATGTCACTGTATCCTGCAAATCCGCACTATTGCGTACTTTCGCTTTAGTTTCCATGCTTAATGTTACTCTGTTTCTTGCTGTGTAATCATTGAACTTGAGATTTTTTTAGGAAGCTTCTTTTTGAGTTGGAATACCTCTGAATGTCACGATTACAGCTTATGCAGGTAATCAGAACATTTAATTGTTCAGAGCCTTTGCTTTCTCTTGTGATTTTCGTCAAAGTCCTTTCATAAGTCAGTCAGTGGCTACGTTGGTTTTAGGCGTTCCCTTTATTGGTACTATAGGCGAATTTGTAACGATTTTTCTTAAGACAGATCTTATCAAGGCTTCTTTTGTTGCAGTAGATCCTGGGTTTTTGAATGGTTGCAAGGGTGAGTTGGTGCAACAATGAGAAACAACACATTTTAGATATGCATTGGTCTTTCCGCTAGAAAAAGACGCGAAAGTCATCAGATAAGTATTTACTTTGTGTTTGAAGTTTGCTTCTGTTTCAAACATGAAAAATTTCATCAACTGACTCCATCTTTACATCGATGTTCGTGCTCAGGTACAAGTTACTGCGCGCGCAAGGCGCGTACAAATCCTCGCAACGGGGACTCCATGACCAATGCTGGTTGGTATAGGCTATAAGTTTACAACCATCTCAAGGCAAAGACTTTGCATGAGACTTTGCATGGGACACGGTAAATGTATATACAGGATGTCCCAAAAATGTGCCTACTGTTTGATTGTTAACTCTTTTGTCAAACAGTCCTTCGGAAAGCTTTAAAATCATTTTGTGAAGCTAGCTTCAGCTTACGATTAGATACACAGTATGGAGCGAATCATCAATCGCTCTTAATTACAGTAACATTTCGATCGGAACGTTGACGAGGGTTTTGAGCCATGGGGCGCCACATGGCTTGTCTCAGAAGAGAAATAAAGCTTGCAGAAGACCCTCATATTAGGTTAAGTAGAGTTGCTGATTGTAAATATGAATTTTGCATCTCATCACAATGCTTCGTTGAAAAGTTATGCAACGTGAGCAGTGGCAGCCAATATTTTGTTTGTTCTTAAAAAATGCGGTGAGAGCATCTAGAAAGCTTCAAATTTTTGTACAAAATCAAGAACCAAACTCAGCATCCATAAAAACCCTATCACACTAGTTTTTAGATCTTTTTTGGAAGTGTTTGTAAGGCCGCTTTTTCACAGCGATGCCATACGATGGAGTTTCTTGCCGCGATCCTACAGTGATGAAGAGCGATCGGTGATTCATTCCATACTATAAATCTAAGATGAAGCCAGCTCTACAGATTAATACCTCAAGCTTTTCCGAAGGACTGCATGACAAAAAAGTTATCAACAATCAAACAGTAGGCACTTTGGGACGTCATAAACTGGTGCCGCTTTCAAGAAATATGAATACTGGAAATTTCATGTGTTCCTCTGATGCTCATAAGGAGAGCAACTAATCTAGAATGGTATAAAAATCTAAACGATAATTCAATTGTCCAGACCCTAAAAAAGAGAACGGCAGGGCTCTACTATAGAAAAAAAGGTAAAAGATTTGGCATTTTCTATAGCATTCTTGGTCACGCGCCGAACGTGCTCTACTTCACAATAAAGGACATTCTCAATGCTTGCGAACATCTACGATGATTTGCATGGGTCAGCCTATTGGCGCTTTAATTTCGCAGATTGTCCTGCTTATAGTTTATCGCAGAAAGCCTCGACTGCGTGATTGACACAAGTGCGGAGTCGAAACTTGATCACACTGGGTCATGGCAGCGCCTCATACCACCATGCTACTCTTCTTATTCTAACTTTTGTCGACTGGGAGAATGTCTTGGACAGTGAATTGATCAGCGAAGGAAATAATCTTACAGATATCAATCATATCTTTTAGTGAAGACATTGGGCAGTTGCTACATGGACAGTACAAAACGAGCTGCAGCTTGCTCGAAAAAAAAATAGTTGATTACCTGCTACGATGCAACTTCATAACTCAATAAAAAAAAAACTTCGAACCGACGAGAATGAGGCTTTAAAAAATTTTTATGGAAATTTCGGCGAAATCTGAGGTTAGCTGTACTGCTCACGTGACCACTGACTACGGAACGAGCACTGCTTGTGCAACTTTTTCCGATCAAGTTAGGCTTCCTTAAAGTAAAGATTTTCAAAAAGGGTGATGTTTCCATTTTCGCCTAAAAAAATAAACCCATAGTTGCGCGATAATTTCTGATGCACAGAATTGCTATACTGGCAACGTTTCAAGGAAGAGTTATGATGAATCAAAATGGTGGATCTTGAAACAACTCATTATAACCGACATACTCAGCATTCAGTCAGGCTAACAATAAGTTTGCCATAAAAACAATTTTCCGTTTCTTTAACCTAGCTGATTGTGAGTACACAAACATTTGCGGAACCTATGGATCATTTGAAAAAATAATTACAATGAGCTCTCATGGGCTCAGCTATCGCTTGCAAGCAGGAAATCTGTGAATAAAGAAAATGTGAAGACAAACCATACGATTATAATTCGATAATTTCACGCATATAAGGCGCATTTTTTCGAATTTTCAAGAAAGCCGCTCAGCCGCTTCACTGTATTCCGGAAGAAGTCCTTACATCGTACGATTCTCTCAAACAATATACAGCACGTTATAGGGTCTTTTGGTTGTAAAGTCCTTTGGCTTGTCTGGGCTGGTCGATTTTGGAAAAGAATCCCCCGCGCCTTATACGCGTGAAATTAGGGTATTAAATTCAAGAAAATTATTTCTGAGCTGAGTTCTAAAGTCAGAATAATATTTCCAGAATTTTCGATTTTTTTTTCTTGCCCTTTGTTAATATTCTTGTACAACTTTGTAATCTAGTAGCGTGCTCTATACATAGTACTCTATAACTGTGGTGGATGAAGTTGTGAAGTCCTTTGCTGCCTGTGTGAAAATCCCTTGCTATTACTGGATTTCAATTCATTACTGTTTTCATTCGCTTAACAAGGAGATATTAGGTGGAATGTTCTGTCGTACTCCAAAAAATTCACAAATTTTGAAGAGAACATGGAATTATAGATGCTCCTTGGAAAACAAATATTTTCTCATGCTTTCGGCGTTGGGTACCCAACACTCACGTCTACGGAATATTTTTTACCAGCCCCTACCGACTAAGCTTGCTAGAAATTGTCTGTGTTGCATATTTCCAAATCTGAATTTTTTTTTTGAAGGGGAGATGGGTGGGACAAGTGGCGTAGTGGCACACGGCGCAGGCATGGCTAGGCCAGACCAAGGTTCGATCCCACCTGGGCCCAAGTGAGCCCTCTATCCTCCTTGAATGGTAAATTGGTGCCGGAGTAATTTCGAGAGTTGGACTACTGCATCTGGTAATTAGGTGAATTCCCTCAGTTCACTTCAAAGTTTATTATCGCGATGTTTCTCCAGAGGGCGACAGTGCATTACAACTTCCTTCATTTCCTTTTTAACTGTTTCGATTCTTGCATCCCAGGCTTTTTGTCACATCTGATGATATCTTCAAAAATAAAAACCGATATTATAGACCACGGCGGTAATTTTGTTTGTTCCATTCCTCTCTTTTCGTAGCACACAATATTTCTGACATTTATGAAAGAGCATGTCTACAAAGCAATCCAAAAATGATCAGCAAAGCGGCTATATACACAATACAATATGGCGAAATACCCGTGGAAATAATGGAGGTCGAGAAGGAGAATAAAATAAGGATGACATGAGTGCAGAAAGCTAAAGCGTCAGAGTCATGGAACACGATCACCAAGTAGCAGATTTACCTATCAACCTCCCGATCGGGCGATGTTAGGGCGCTTTACTGGCTGGGAACGAGCGTCCGATGAGCGATTCAATAAAGTTACATAATTAGCGCCCGATCTATTAGTATAGGGAGCTGTTACCCAACTTTTCGATGTACATATAACTGCATCGCTTGATCAGGCGCCCGATCATCGCCCGATCGGGAGGTTGACGCATAACGCCCAAGAAGTAGTTTTTAGACTACTTTTGAAGGTCGCCAAGCATTCTGACTATGTGTCGACATCGGCACATAATGTGATGGGGGATGTGGTGGAGGAGCAGTGGGCGGCTCGAGAAGTGGACGAGTTGCAGCGACAGCCGAAGCCTTCTGAGGAGCAGAGCGACACATTCCGCAGCAAAGCACACGATGCCAAGAGAGCAGCGTTTTCGGTGACAGTACCCACATTGCACAAGATGCTCCCATAGCCAACGACATCATCAGATTCAGATGATAGATCTCAGCCTAAAAAATGGTAGCTGCTGCTGTCAGACTATTTCTAATACAGCGCGGAAAAATGACAAAAGCAAAGATTCACAAAAGAAATCATCATCATTACAAAAAAAAACTCAAGAAACCCAGTAAGTTGAGACAGTTCACTAAAAACGTGATTTCTAAAAAAAAATCTTTTTTTTCAATTTCGTAGATTTTCACCAAATCTCCACTAACCTACAATTCGAAAACAAAACGAAAACAAACGAAATTTTCATACAGGAAAATTTTTTTTAGGATGCTTTGCAATTCTTTAGCGGACCTTTAGCCGACAAATCAAGAACTCATATTCACAATACGTACTCCACGAAAAAATTTGCTGCTTTGCTCCTAGCGGACCTCCAATCTGCGCCCTAAATTACTGTTTTGTAAAGTTTTCATTTTTTTCTCGTATTTTTGCAAAAACTATCATCTAGAGAAAACTCAGTCAAATTAAGGTTAGGTTTTTGGAATTTTTCCAAGTTTGCTATTTGGATATATTTTACATGGAACTGATAGAAGTTTGAAACATTTTGTGCTCTTCCCGATACCCTAACTTCTGTGGAAATCCCAGAATTTCTTCTCGAAGAAGTAGGGCCACAGAATATTTCTTCTTAGATAGAGAGTCATTAGTCAAGTCTTCAAAGAAAGATTTTCTTTTTCTTTTTTTTTTTTTGAGAAGCTCCTCAAATTTCTTAGGGTCTTATTCCTTGAAAGGCAAAAAACAGTGGCGTGGTGGTGCTCAAGTCTCAAACAAGATTCAGTTGTATGGTTGATTTGGATTTTAGAAAACTCTAAAAGTTTTTTAACTACATATTTGCAAGTAACAAGTTACTTGCTCGTTTTTTAAGTCATATAGAAAAAAAGGCCTGCGCCTCCCTCCGCTCCTTCTTCGGTTCTGAGCGGCGCTCTTCAAATTCATTTTTAAGTTCTTTTGTAATTTTCTTTTTCTGATTCTTACGTAAGCTATCGTACCTGTGGCAAATGTGGCCGATGACAATGTCCTCCTTCGACGCCACCACTTCTTTTGCATGCGATTGTCGTCGGATACCATCGTTTGGCCGTGTTAAATGCGTATATATCGCAAAGCACTTGCGTAACAGCAGGAAAAATGTATAGCAAACAGAAAAGACCCATTTTAAACATTAGTTTGTCCAATTTCGACGTGTCGGTGCCCTATAACAGCATAGGGATTACTGTATGGGCGAAAAGTATTACTGTATGGGTCAGAAGGTAACTTACTCGTCTTCTGAAGCTGTCACGTTCACGGCACATGCTGGCGAAACCAGCAATGACGAAGCAGGTCCCGAGAAAGACTAGCACAGATCTGGGAATGAGCGAAAAAGCCAAGAGAGCATTTGGATCCGTGTTGCCAACCGAACAAATTCCAGAAAGTTCGCTTGCGTCCACCTAGAGAGAGACAAAAACTATTATTTGATTTTTTAGGGGGTAAAATTTGCACTTTGACGCACGAACCTTTTGTGTAACCAAAACCACAATAGTCATTAATGCAGAGTTCCCCAAGCGACCAGATGTAGGTAACTAGAGCAGGCATCAATACCCTCTGGAACCCATTTGCGGGACGCCGACAGGTACCTAAAAAACGAATGACAGTGAATTATTACAGCTTTCAAAGTGGTCCATTAGACTCATCACTCTTTCCTCCCATATTTCCCGTTTTTGCTCTCAAAAAATCTATCAAACTGCGCTTGGCTGAAAGCCTACACCTCATGCCTTTTTTTTCGAACTTTAGCCCTCTTGTTACTCCCGAATAGTAGCTTTAAAGAGCTTGGAAGGCGTCAGCTCTTGGCCTAGTTAATCTCGTTATACGGAGCCAAATTCCGATGGCTACACAGCCAAACTGCATTAGCCCTACGAAAACGATTTCCCTGATGAGAAAGAAGGCGCATTCATTTGCAACTCCTCACTCAACTATTCTATGGTCTTCGAGAAAATCGAGTTAAGAAGAGAGCAATACACTTTTTGCAAATAAGGAAGATCTTTGAAACTTCCAACTTTAACAGAAATTTACACCCAAACCCGCAATATTACACACAACACAAAATACATGAATTTTAACCTAGAAACTTATCATAGAGTCGAACACTGTGCAATTTCAGTCACAGTCCGTTTAGTAATAATTTTTTGAAAGCAGCAGTATACTGCGTATCCGCATACCGTATACTTACAGTAAAGGACGAGAAGCATACGGTACCGTCCAGAACTCAGAATATTCTGCAACTTTAAGTGGAGGCTTTAACATGCTGATCGGAGCAACAAATGCACTCAAAAACTCATTGTGGGCTTGACTCAGAGTTCCAAGTTAACTCCTACACCATAAGAAGTTATCTTGAAAAAAGCTATGGAATCAATCACTAAGCATTCATTTTTGCAGTTATACCTTACCTAGCCAAATCTGACAATTTCTGCACTTTCAGATTAGTAAAAACCATTTTTTTTTTGCTATTTTAGAATTTGAATCTCAAAAATTTCTCTTGCAAGCCTCTCTTTTAAAAATATCTTATTCAAATGCGATACAAACGGAACTCACCAAGTGAAGGCAAACATCAACCACCATAAGCTGCTAGCAGTTCCAAAATAGTAAGTGAACACGAAGGAAAATAAGCAGTTGGTGTTTTCAAAGCCTGTAGAAAAAATTTTTGCAGAGATTAGATTGTATACAACATTGCAGCTGTGGTTTTTCTGTTACGGTGATTTTTAATCAAGTTAAATAATTCTTGCAACAAAAATTCTCTGAAAAATTGCTCAAAGGTGTCTCAGAGGCTTCTAGCTTCTGCACAATTTTGGTCTAACAGACTTTGTATGTTAATATACATCATACCTACACGTCAAAGATTTCCGCAAACAAAATCAAGAATAAAAAATCAAAAATTGCTGTAAAATAATCCAGTAGGCACCAGTTTCTTAGAGTACCTAATATTACAAAACAAATGATTTCCGAGGGTGATAATATCACCTGGCTATTTCGTTTGATTTTTATTTAAACTTTTTGGATTCCGAAATCATTTAATTTCAAAGTAAAAACAATTTCAGAAATACAAATCATTATAAATAATTCGCTGCCAAAACGTGATATACGAAAAATGGCTGCTGTCGGAAACGATAAATGGATTCTGCTGATAACAAATCTGATGTTTTACAATACTTACCAGAGAAAACCAAGTAGGATTGTCCATTAAGTAGCTTATCACAAGCTCGAGCCGAATACTGCATAAACAGAGGGAAGAGGTACGGTATCGAGTAGAACATGAAGCAGAGCGATATGTAGAAGACGCATCTAAATTATAGCTTTTACCTCCACCGTTCAACCTGGTTCTTCCAAAATCTACCCACATCATTCCTCTATCCCTCAAAATACTTCCCCTCCCCCTCGCTTTGCTCCCCTCTTTCAGACACGTTTCAGCGCATAACTTTGCGCTCTATTGTGACAATGTCATCAAAGCGAAACTGGAGCCGATGCTTTATCTAAACCGCTCCTTTCATCTTGCCGATTGTTATTCTGACGATCGCTCATAAAAGCGATAAGCTCAGAATTTGTTGAAGCGGTGATAACAACCGAAATCAGATGAAAAACTGATAAACACTGAAAAACGCTTACCGTTCTGGAAATCGAAAACGATTACGTTCGATGAGAAAAGTAAGAAAAGTGAAGAGGCTCATGGTAAAATCAAATCCACCCCACATCAACATCCATGTTCGGGCAGCAGTCTGCAAAGGAATGTAAGTAATACAGAGTACAGTAAATTTGGAGGCTGTGCAGTCGCGGTGTCAACAACATTTGTGCGTGAAAATAAGAAATGGCGCGAAAACTGCAAGTTGTCGACAGCACAGAAGTACTACATTATCAGTCTATTGGTGCAAAATAACAAAAAAACTACAATGTTTGAAATCAAGTATTACCGTAATCTCCAAAATCTTACGCGTAAAATTAAAAGCTTTGATCCCATTTTTTAATTTGAATTTCTTCCTTTTGATATTTCAATTTTTCGCCTGCATAGAAAACCACCAAATTATCCATGCGATCCCCCCCCCCCCCGATCCCTTTTTTGCCCCTTATTTTCCTTACCTTCTCTTCGCTGCTAAACATCACATCAGCACCACATTTGTATGCGCAAACTCCCTCATTATCCAGAGGATCGATGTCTAATAGATCGTGAGGACACGACATCGACGGGCCCAAACGATGCCGATGAAGAGATCTGGAAATGTCTTTGTAGAAGAAATGTTATAGCACGTGTGACAAGCAGAAATTGGCCGTGACGCATAGCTGGATTCGCAGATGTGTGAGAAAAAATTTCAAGGTTGAGGAAAGCTAAGCAAACATCAATTTCTTTCTTAATTTCATTTTCTGTCTAACGAAGTAATTTCTTCTTTTCAAGGAGATATCATCTGGTTTTATCAAAACAATTTTATAATCCTTTACAAACTCCTGACCTCAATAAATTATTTTTTGAACTTTTCTACCAGCGTGAATTCGGGTAAATTTACTGAAAATGAATTTATTGAGATTCGAAATAATGCTACTAATAAGAACCATACAATTTCATACGTTTACGGAACTTCTTGTAATTTATAAGGTATTAGTTATATTACTGAATTCGCTCATTTCTCGCATTTTATTCATTTTTATCGAATTTTTCGAAGCTTTGCATAAAGATTGATGCTAAACTATTGCTCAAAGAAAGTAAGTGCTCAGAATAATCTTCAAATGTCAATTTTTTCGTACGTTAAATCAAGTTTGGTACCAGGGTTTTGATTTTTCATTGCTTTTTCGATGTAATTTCAAGATTTTATCAGTCATAAATTTTTTACGGTGATTTGGGTAAGGTTTAGGGGATAACTAGGTTTATTTGGAAATTGAATTTCCAGCTCATTTTATTTATTTTTTTTTTGAATACAATCTTTTATTGTTTTGTTGCAATTTCAATAAGACACTCAATGTCACTAGCCTTGTTAATAGAAAATAAAATTTTATCAGGACGGAAAGTCAAATCTCTACGATCAGCTTTCTACCCCTTTTCCCCTCCTTATCCTCCCCCCCCCCTCTCCTTCGTTTCCACTTACGTCTTCTCATAACCATGTCTGTCTTCATCAGGATTCATGCAAAGATCCGGCTCTTGAGGAAATCTCGAACAATCCAGTGGCTCCGGCCATGAGATACCGAACTCCTCCAAAATCGACGAGCAATCGGCTTTGACCTAAAATACGGTAAGCTTAAGATATCGTAATCCGACACATTCGCACATGGAACCAATTCAATAACATCAACAGAAAAAGTGCATGGCGGCAAGGTGGTCCTATAACAAAGAGAATGTTTGCATACACCTCGTAAAGGTGCCGTGTATTATTTGCCGCAAGTGGACCATGAAATTTTATGTTATGATAAGGTTCTGCAGATGTGTGAGTCATGTAGGTTTATATCGAACTGTACAGAGTAGTATAGGCAGTAAAGTCAAAATTCTGGAGAACTAAAGTGGCTGCAGAAGAGCATTTATATATGAAAACTACGAGTGTAAGAAACACCGTGGAAGTGACATATTGAATTTTGGGATAGGAGATCATTCGAGTGGCTCGATTGATGTCTTTGCTCAGAATGAACCCCAACTTTTTTGAAAGTATGGAAGCTTAAGAATTTTCACAGTTTAGAAATTCATAGGGAATCCAAACGTTCAGCAACAAAAAAAGTGTATAAAATACAAAAAAAATGTAAAATGTGTAATTACTGTAAGCGTCTAGGGTCTTACATGTTTGTACCACAGGCTATCAACAGTCAAAGCAGAACTCAAAAATCATACTTTTTGTAAAGTTTTCCCCTTTTTTCCTTTCTTTTCATAGAAATCCAGAACATTAACTTGGCGGGGAGAATTTTAGAGTTGAAGTATCTACTAGTAACGCTTCACTCATGGTTTTTTATGCTGGAAATCTTGAATTTTGGTAATGATCCGGCAAAAAATCTTTCAAGCTTAAAAGCAAACAGGCGCCATGATCTCTTGGCGGAAAATTATAATACAGAATCGTTTGTTATTTTAAAATCCAAAAATAAATTATTAACTAATTATAAATTTTTATGTAAATTTAAATCTTTAAAAATTGAACAATATCTACAAAACATGCCAAGGTTATACAAAAAGGATACATACAATCTGTTTATTATTCTTTAGAATTTACTCTGCAGATCAAGAAGTTAGTTATAGTTTCACTAAAGATTAATATTTTTGAAAAAATTTCAACGAGAATTTTCTTGGATGGAAACTTGTAGAATTGAGCGCGTAAACTTCTCTTCTAGGGCTTATCGAATTTTCATATCCTGGATATTGAAAGACGGATCAGAAAACGAGCAAAATTCTAGTATTAGCACTTTCCAAAGAAATTTCTCCTTCTTCGCACGATCGATAGCGAAAGGTGTTTTCTAGTCCCTCGACATCACATTTTCATCGACATAGCCCATTCTCGCTACCACTGCAACAGATCCTTGACGTCGTGTAATTACTGCCAAAGAGCAGCTGCACCCAGCCAATGCGGATCCATAGTTCGGCCATGCGTTGCTCTTTCGGATCCGATATCCCGCCACCCCCTCCCAAATGTGTGGAGCCAGCCCTATATGGGTGTTAATCGTCTATACCTCCCTGGGCTGTGTAAGGAGGGTTACATTACCATAATCTGCTCGTAATGGATGTTCGCCGAGCTTTTACTGCCGGCTTTGCTGCTGGTCTGCTGCTGGTTGTAGGCGCTTGCGACGATTAGAAGCATCTGGCGGACACGTCCGTCGCACTCCGCCCGGACGATTTATGCTATCGTACACGATCATCGCCGATGAGTTTCACCGAGTATCGATTGATCAGAAAATGTTCGAGAAAGCCAAAAGGGTGGAGGAGGCTCTGAGAAAGTCTGAGTAAAGCTTTAAAGCTGCGTTGAAGTCGTGAAAGAATCAATAAATCTATAAATGGCAATGAAAATAAATAAGTGAAGAAGTACTTGAGTGGAGTCAAAAGTCCTCTGCATATTTTTCAAATCAGGGTAAGCGTGCCCTTCTGGAAAAATAAGAAAATATTTCATCAACCTGTAAATTGAGTGGAGGACTACGAATAGATCTAGCGTCAGGGTTTATTTAACATACTCTATTTTTCCTGCATCTTTCTACAGCTAATTTTTTGAAGCAGAATAATAAAGTGCTAGAAAAATTAGACAGTATTTAGTTAGTCAAACTAAGAAAAAGAGGAATAAGAGAAGTTCCATTGGGTCAGGCTCTGATCCCAAATCCTTTCGTCTTTATATTTTTAATATATATTTTGTAATTTTTCGTGGCGGTTGTTTTGCTTCTTGATATGTGAGTTCCTCATGCAAAAAAAACTGATTTGCAAACAGATTTCTTTATTTTGGGAAGTTTCGATGGGCTATGAAAACAGCATTATTATCAGAAATATTGAATATGAGGATAAAGTACAACGACTATGTGTCGAGTATATCCGGAAAAGAAAAAGGAAGAAAAGCGAGTTCAATTTTCGGAACCATCATAGAAAAAGGAAGTACACCGACTTACCCCCTCCCTCCGCCCCCTCCGGAATCTCCGAACACGGAAATGAAGTGCTGTGCGCTTATTTGGGAACTTCTGAAGACAAAGGAGGAGTACACCATCTCTCCGGAAGTTCCGAAATAAAGGCAGACCTTAGAAAGCCGCTTTATAGACTGTACAACCCGTCCCGATGGGTGAAATCAGAATGAGTTCAAACCATTTGACAAAAATAGTCGGCCGCAGTCAATAAGGCATCAAAGATTTTGAAAACCAAATACTTATCAAGGTTTTAGATTTCAAGTTCATCCTGACGATGCAAAACCCGTCTCACGTCCTTGTTTTCCCTCTCCCTCCCCAGTCCAAGTTTTTTTTGCAACATCGCCGAACTTCTATTGTTGTGTGTCTTAGAGTCCCACAATATGTAAGGACACACGATCAAAAGACTGTGCCGACATTGGTTGAGCCATAAATTAATCACAGGTCATCTGAAGTGTCTCTCTTGGAACCCAACATACACACACTCATTCATCACTTACACACAATGGAATCGGTAAAAAGAGAAGTACATGTGTTTTCTGGAGCAAAAAGTCGGCAAAGGAGCACCTTAAAGATGGGTGATGGTTGACGAATGAGTTTTTGGGAACAAAGAAGTTGGCGGTTCAATAAATCAAATTTTATTGGAAAATTCTATTGAAGATAAATGTATACAAAAGCCGCTTAACAAACCCATAATGATACCACAAAAAATGCAATGTGGAGACCTTCCGTTCTACTTCTACAACAACACTTCAGCGATCATAGTCATATGTAGGTCTGCTGGAACGGGAATTTTATATCGCTTTTTTCGGGCTGTAAATTCCCTTTTGTGGAATTTGCGCGGTTTCAACAGTTTTAATAAATCTTATACAATCAACTCAATTTTTCATCCGTTTAAAACGATATGGAAATAATGAAACGGGAAATTTACATCGTTCTTTCCGAATGTAGGTCCCCATTTCTAGAATTTTTGCACAGTCTCAATAAATCACACTTTATTTAAAATTCCGTTGTAAGTGAATGCAGCTGAGAACAGTTCATCTAATAAAATCGTAAGTTCTGAAAATAAGATTATGAACTGATTTAAGGGAATTTTTTCGATGTATTTTTTCTGGATATGCCTTCTCATCTTCTTATAAAAAACTCCTGTTTTATCATGCTCATATAAATGCTCTATATATGTATAGAGATACTAACAGGGGAAGGATACTTGGATGCCGTAGCCATTCATAATGATTTGTATACCAAAAAATGCGCTTTTGAATGCTGGTTCGTAGACTGTCTTTCATATCTGCGAAACGATAATCTGAATGGAGTTATGATTTTTTTCATTAAAAAATTTCGTTCCCGGGGAGGGTCAAAATCATCAATAAAAAATTTTCTCTCTATTCCAAATGCTGAGTATGATCCAGATAGTCTAAATAAATATTACTACGTCTAAAATTTTCTTCAGTAGCATCAAACGGTAGGCTAGATCAAATCTGGTGATTTTTACTATCCAAAAGTAGGCTATATTTTCAAGGAAAAAAGTTCATAACTTTCTTCAAAAGACCGTTTCGCAGATTTCGAGCACAGATTCAGAATCTGCATTCGAAGGCGCATTTTTTGGTGTACAAATCATTAGGAATGGCCGCGGCATCCAACTATCCTTCCCTTGTAAGACCAAAATTTTTATCGTAGTATATGTCAACATCATCGTTAAAATCTGCATTGTGTTTTTAGAAATTTGTGTTCCACATCTTCCCCGAAATTACCTGACATTGCCAAAAGTCCCCGACCAGCTAGAAAGATTTCCGGTTTCAAGGATAATTACGCCCTTAATTCTCTATCAGCTGACAGTATGATGGCAGCCATAGCATAGAGTTCTCATGTGTTTGTACCCCCCTCCCCCCGTAATCCATCATCCTGCCCATATGTTTTCTTTTCATCAGAGTCGGCAGCCTGATCTGCCCTAACCTAACCAACACCTGGCTCCTTTCCGCTTGTCCCCCACCTTCTGGACATCGGTCACCTGCACAATCATAACTGGCAACTGCACTCCTCTTGAACAAATGAAGCTAGCTGGAACGGCTGAGGTCATGTAAATAGCGAGTAATTAGTCAGCTGCAGGAGTGGCAGACAATCTGAATTAATTAGTGACCAGTTTTTGAGGTCATTTTTTGAAGAAATAATGGCAAGATTGCAGAAACCTGAAGAAATGCAAAGTCAAGAAAATGATTATTAAAAGAGAACGTTTGCGGATTTATGTCCAATTTTTTTCAACTTTTATCCTGATGCGAAATTTTTATTATATTATTGTCACCCCATACACAAATTTTTTATGCTTCATCCTATTTCACTTGTACTATTTTTATTTCATCCTCATTCCAATTAGATTATACTATCTTTATTTCATACGCAAAAATTCGAAAAAAAGTTCCACTTTTTTACTTCATATATCAAATAAATTCAAACTAACCAGGAAAATAAAATTTACAATTGAGGTAATTGTTATGGAGCGATTTTGAAAGATGATGGCAGTCAAAAATATCATATCAAAATCATATCAAAAATGTAGTCTATCCTAATAAAGCAAGAAGAAGACATTTCTATCAGAATTTCCCGTTTCAGTAAGTCAGATATATCGGCAAATGCGACACCCTGCGATTGTCAACATAACTAGGACTTTCCAGATTTATGTGGCTTTTGATTTGCTCTTTTTTATCAGTGAGATTTTATCCAGTGATAGATAAAATCTTCGAAGGATTTATGGAAGTTTTTTATATAACTTTCATTTTTCCACTGGAAATGCAATGTTGGGCAGAGAGAAAATGTAAGATTAGACAAAGCGAAATTGGTTTCGGGGAGGACTTTTCTAATGCAAAAAGCGCCAATATGCGTTGGATTCAGGCTGCGATTGTAAGAAAAATAGGAAAAATTCTGCCCCTTAATTCCCACCACTCGGCACGAGATGGCTAGTTGAAAATGCAAAAAACGATGTTCCCCTTGACTTTTACGAATTTTTACGAAGTCCTGTTTGACCCTAGCCCATAATCCCAAAAAATCTCCAAAACGTGCACTATTTATTATCCATCCTTTCTTGGCTAGAAAAAACAAAATGAATATACGTTAAAAAATGGAAATTATAATTAGGATCATGATCAAAATGAATTATCAGATACAATATAAAATTTTGATGAGTAGTTATGCAGTGAAGCTAGAAGAAAATGGTATCTTTCAATACTGAAATAAGCAGAGCAGATTGTTGTCATTTTTGAGGAAATTTTCCGTTTCAGTAGGCCTACATATGTAGGTCAACATATATTCGTCAGTATCTCTTTTTTTTTCAATTGGTCTTATCATTCGGCAATTTTTCTCCTATACTTTCTTGTTTTAAATTAATTTTTCTTCTTCTCTGGGAACTATACGCCTGTAATGCTGGTGCAATACGATACCGAATTGCCCTCACTTTGTGGCCTCCGCTGTCCTTCGTCTGAGTAGCAATTATCACAGAGAGCTTACAATCGAATAATAACAGAGTCCGGGAATGATCTGAGTTAATTATGAGGCGGTAGAGAGGGGCAATCGTGCACAATCAACCACCAAAAATGATGAATGGGGCCGAAAATGTTTGCGATAATTAGTGGTAATTTCGGCTGCGGGGGGGGGGGTAGAAGCCCTAGAAGTGACAAACGTGCAAAACATGAGCAAACTTGTAGACCCCGTCCATTATATCGTGTCGGAACCTGCATCGACCAATAGGGATCTTTACTGACCAATAGCGAAGGAGTGCTATTATTGGCGCGAGATTTGAAATCATCATTTTCTGCACTGCACCCACTTGCAAAAGCACCCTTAGCGTGTAAAAAAGCGGAAAAAGACAAAAGGAACAAGCAGTTGATAACTGAGTGGAACTGAAGGCAGGTTCAAACATTATGATGAGCTCGTAAGGAAAGAAAAGAAGGAACGATGATGAGTGAAGATAAGAAAATTCCATAAAAGGTCATAAATTATGTGCGTACCTGCTCGCAAACGGATCTACAACTGGTCACAGCCTGTGGCATTCCTTCGGGACACATCGGAGCGAATACGGAACATACGAAGAATTGTATATTACGATTACATTTCGTTTTTATTAACGGCTTGAAGTGTTCGGTGTTTGTTTGCAGCTGAAACGGAAAGTTTTCTGAGAATTCCCTGAGAATAAATGAAAATTTCGTGTTTGCAACAAGTTTATCCCCTTGTGTGTCGTAATAGCTTTCGCCTCATAAAATTTCAAGCACGTACTAGAAGTCGTAACATGCATCAGCATGTAGCACGACACAACCCATAACGACACCCATAAAATTAGCCCCCGGAGGAGCGGGGGTTCGCATGGAAATCTCCACTTCTAGACCTTCCCCATGGTAGTATGGATAGTCGTAAAAAAATTTTTGCAGTCTGACACCCCCTAACCTTGGGTAAACACAGCTACGATAGCGGAAAAGTCATTTCCTGAATGGATGCTTTTGTTCGCCTTCGCTGATGAAATCGCCGCAAAACAATTTTTTGAGGCAGCTTTTGGGTCAAAAGCTTGACTGAAACGGGAAGTTTGATATTTTAGCGAGCGGAAATTGCTAGAAATTTCTTCTTGTGACAAAACCGAAAATAAAATTATTTTGGTAAATACTAAGATTTTCTTTTAAGTTTTAAGTCTCTTATTTTCTTTTCTTATGTTCTGACAACATTTTGGCGTTGCTAAAAAATCGTTACTAAAATTCTCAGTTTGATCCATAATTAGTTCAACATCAATTTATGCACTACACTTACCCCGCCCCACCTTCAATTTTTCACGGGGGTTTAGGTGGGTCAAAAAATCATGCAAGACTACCTTGTTGTCAATAATTTGGAAAATTCCGAAATTTTATTAGACTGTCCGGAAATAAATGCACGTTTCTGCAGATGCATTTTCAAAGAGGTCGTTCCTCTGTATATGTGCATTTTTCGACCAACTTCACATACTATAGGAAACCTCCCTTCATGCTCTCTCTTATGTTTTCCTCTACAATCAAATTCGTTTGTTCAAAATCTACAACCATCCGAAGATAAATCGGATCACAAAATTTACCTTTTGCACTATTTTGGCTTGAACTTCTTTGGTAAGAGAGGTATTTCTATGATAATATAGCTGAAGCAAGATATTGAGTGAACCTACAAAATAAATAGTAGCATTTCCTTGAAACTATTGTGAGAGCAAAGAAATTGAGGCTTTATCATAAATAATTGTCGCGACGAGTCCACGGCGTAGAAAACTTTTTTTAAAGAAAGCAACCGTGAATGTCTCTCCTCGTGCTTGAAGAGTGAGGCCAGTGCTGTCAGATATCATTTCAACTGGTACTTCTCAGGCTTTATTTTTGTTGAGTTAATAAAAAATCAAAGTTATCGGAGATCGCCCCCGCGGTTGAAATATCGAAAAAATGGAAAATTTTGATTCCGTAATTTTTTCTTTCGCAGAGAATTCCTTAAAAATTTTTTGCATAGCTGTATATGTAGTACTGGTCTGTAACTATAAGCTGCAGAAGTTTCTCGCTGAACACTCATATTCAATAGGAGTTTACAATTTGCCAAATATGACCTTGTTGAAGAAAAACCTTCTTACTTTCTGGTTTCCAGCAATTTGCTTGTTGAAGCTACAGAAATAAGTGGGCATGCTTTGAATAGACAAAGACTTGCTGAGCAGAGCAGTTTTTACCTCATTTCAAAACACGCAATTTCGAGAAGTTATGACACTTTGAAGTGAGATTTTGCAAAACCTGCATTAATTTCCGGACAACCTAATACAAAAATTCGAATTAGTCGTCAAAAAACCGTTTGGGACAAGACTCTATAAGTTTGAGGGTCTGACTACGATACTCATTCATTTGGAAAAAAACTGGTCTCTTTTCTCACGTTTTTTTCAATTTTTTGGGAACATCAATAGGCAAATTTGACCATTTTTCATATCTACAGCATTAAACAATTATTTAGGGTTAGAACAAAAATTTCGAAAAAAAATATGTCACGGAACGCAGTTCGTAATTTAAGTATCCACGCAACTGATTAATTATTTATTTATTTACTCGTTGTTTATCGTTTTATTCGCTAATTTCAAGATTTATTGCATTTTGGCCTCTTCATTCTGTTTCGATTGACTACTTCGTGTCAGGACCTGTACCAGCCAATGGTGCTCGTCTGTATTTGGTGCGAAATTCAAAACTGTCATATTCCCACCACATCCACGCTTAATAATAGTACAATTGCCATTTGGTGAACATCCGATCTTCCCATAAGCACCCGGCTCGCATTGCTTTTTTTGCACTTGAGCCTTGCCGCGGCTACAATGAAAGAGAGCTGGCGACAGCTGCATGTGCCGACGTGAATCGACACGCATGTTCGCGGGAATTATCGTCACGCATATGGTGACGACGACAGTGATGAAACACCACCCGCCAGCATACCCGGGACCCGGGCAAGAACACTGATCTGTACGGGGGAAATTAGCATAATCAGCGCGAAAAATGGCCTGGGAACCGATGGCGGCTGGTTGGAATTTGCGCGGCGAGAGCGCAATAGGATGATCATTGCAAATGGTGTATCGTTGTGTACGATTTTTATTTTGGTAGCAGGCTGGAGCAGGGGGCGGGAGGGGTGGGGTTCATTTTTTTTCTTTTTTTCGCAAGTCATGCTGTCATGCTATTTAAGGGTGGACGTATTGTGCAGCAAGATACAGAAGATTTTTCTCGAAAAAATAATAACTTTGCATCACAAAAAATATAATTTAACTTTCCCGTTTCAACGGGTTTACATATAGCGGTTACATCACAAAAGTATCGGTAATAGCTCCACCATCTTGGTATATACATGTAGCGGAATCAAAAATCACCTTCAGAATCAAAAGGGATATTTCTATCTACTTCAAACATAGATTTTCATTCTTGCGTAGGATCCAGAAATCAATTTTTCAAAGATGTTAAACATCATGGTTGATACAATCGGGTCAAACGTAAAATATTTCAACAAAAAAGCTCTAAGCTTAGAAAAATTAGTATCCATCTCATAAAAAACCAAACCTCTCCCCCCTTTTTTTTGCCTACCTGTTTCTTCATCTGATTTCAAGAAAGTTTTTCAAAATGGAATAGGAAGAAGTTAGCCACACGTTCATTTTTTAGGCTCGTGACCTCCCCCTCCCCCCCCCCCCCAAAAAAAGGCAATTTTGACCGCTGACTGGTTCCCATTACGATATGTTTCCTGTTTATAAAGCAATGTATCATCTTTCCCGTTTGACATTCGTTTTCTTTTGTATAACAATTGCTTCCATTTTACGGTCCATTGCTCGTCAAAAGAGGAGTTTGCTACGAAAACCTCAACATTTGGTTACGGTAGGTAATCAGAAACACTTTGTCTGTAACCAAAAAGTGGTTCCCAATTTCTCCCGCCAAAAAGTCACTCATTCCCGGGTTTCCCTAAACATATAGTGCCATAAATATTCGTACAGTAAACCCGCGTATCTTGCGTATTTTACGTTGGCGCGAGAATGAGAGAATGCCGAGCGGCGTCGACAAAAAAAGGAATTGCTCTATCAATCCGAAAATGGTGAGAGGCGACGTCGCCGTCGTCTTTGCTTCTGGGAAATGTCACCGAAACGTCGCCCGATGTTTGAAGGCATAAAGGGGGGCTATGTGGAGCCCCGTGCAATGTGCCGAAACCGACATACTTTGAACTAGGGCCATCATCGATTACGTAAGAGGGAAGAAGGGTAAAAAAAAGGGGGGTGAGGAAGCGGAAAAATGTAATGTCATTGTTCAAACGGCATGATCATTTTCAAAATATAGTAAAAAAAAACTGCCCACAAAAGCCACGAGTAAACCCTCAAGTCGAAGAACATTGATTTATCATAGGTGTATGAAACAGGAAAAATTTTGAGAAACTTCATCACAATCTCGTTAACTAATTTTCATTGGTAATCATGTTTTGGAAACACTGAAATTTTCTAAGTTCAGCTGATTAGCATTTCTTTGAAAAAATTGTTCGCGATTATTTTGGAACATTTTTTCGCTCCAAGTTTTTTGTGACTTTTTCCCCACAAGATTTCCGCCTTTTTTCACAAATTTTCCTACAAAGAATTTTATGTGATTTTTTTCCTCTCACACTTTCCTCACCCGTTTACACTTTCTTAAATGAAAGTTTTTGTAAATTTTTGCCGCCAAACCTTTCCTCTCCGCGATCGCAAAATTCTATAAAAAACATTTTAGTGATATTTTTCCATTCTTTTTTTCTACATTTCTCACAGATTTTCAAAATTTCTTATTTCTTATTTCACCGTTGCAAACCTTTAGTTGCCCTTTTTTTGAAGGTTTTTTGCATAACAAAAATTTTATTATTTTTCCAGTCTCAGGCTTTTTCTCTTCCCCTTTTTCTACAGATTTTTTTGCAAAATGAATTTTTTGTAAACATTCCGTTTCATCAGCCTTTTCTTCCCTCTTCTCCCTACCGTTCCAACTCCAACAAAGTATTGCCTAATAACCCATTGAAAAGGCAGTATAGCACATTGACACGAGGTGTGTTTTGAGCGCAACGTCGTTAAGACCTTATCATATGCTCGTAAAATGGTGGAAATGCCATTTGAAGGAGTCTCTTTGAACGGGACAGCATATGAAGTGATCATGTCGATAACATACAACAATAAAATTTAATAATAAAAGTAGAAAACTCACACTTTGCTGGTCCTGTTGTAGATATGGATTCGGAAAGTATGTGTAGTTATATGGAACATCTTTACATAGAGGTATCTCGATTGGTTGACATTTGCCTTTTGTGGTCTGAATTGAGATTACTTCACTGAATAAATGCTATTGTCAGCCGCTTATTTAACACAGTATAGAAACAGGAAATTTTATAGCAGGTTGAGTATTCATATAAAATATGGAAACGAGAAGTTTTCGCAATATTCTGCTTTTAAAAGCTTTCATATTATTACAAATCTTGTCTCGAAAAAAAGAACATGATTTTTGGATTTATCTTGACATTTGTATTTCAAAGCTGTTAATTCCACTATTTTCAATATATTATCAAAGAATATCCTCAAACAAAACCGTTGCATTACAGGAATAAAGATAAGGAATAATTTTCCCGACTTATAATAGATCGAAAATTCCGTCACGAATATAATGCAGCAATTTTTCTCATTCTGAGGACAGAAGAGACCTCCTAGTGAGGAAAGAACTAAGTGGTGATTCTCTTTCAAGGAAGATAAAAAAGCAACATTTTTAAAAGTTGAAGAAGATGAAAATCGGTAAAATAATTTTTAAGCGATTACCTTAAACAGCTACAGTGGAAGATTTACCAACATGAGCAAAGTCTCTACATATGTCATCAATAATCAGTGGTTGGCGGCATCATACATATATCACAGGATGGAAACAGAAAATTTTTAGACGAGATGAAATTACGGCTACTTATTCTTGCAAGTGGAAATTATTTTGGAATAATAAATTTAGAAAAATAAATAGTAATAAGAAGAAGAAAAAGAAGAACTTGATATAATTTTGTATTACTTGCGATAAAGCATTTTCAAGGAGGAGGAGATAATTTAGGTAAAGTTGCAAGTTTGATGATATAAAGTGCAATTCGAACAAAATGAAGCTCTGAGAATACCAAAAAAAAGAAACAGTCTACGTTCTATTTTTGTTACAAACTGCATAAGCTAATTTTGCACAAAGGGGTTGCCAAAGCATACATATCCAGGAAAATTAGACAATTAATTTCTTGAAAATACGATCTGCTCAGTCGTTAGATTTATTGTCACAGAGTTAACATTGAAAACATCTTGATTTTATTGAAAGATAGAAACGGAAAATTCTTATTTCTTTTCTTATTTATTCATTTTACAGGTTAGAAACGGGAAATTCCCGCTATATATACATTGCAAGAAAAAAAACGGAACTTTTTTCCTTTTTCAACCATAAATACAGGAAAATAGAAACGGTAAATTTTCAAACCTAACCTGATCAAATATGGAAGCGGCATCGATGAGATATAGACTAGAATGTAGTAAAATATAGCTAAGCATGAGCAGCGCGAGCATCTCCAGCTGAGCAAAACCCTTGGCGCTGATCAGGCGGAATGACGGGGGACGGGGCGCGGGGAGGTGCTACGACGGGGGCGCTGGGGGTTGTGTGTGCGGCGGCGACGAAGGGGCGAATCCACACAGCGTTATGGTGGTTCGCGCGCTAGGGCGAGCGCAGTCCGGCCAGGCCACGCCCCGATCGCTCGCGTCTGAGCGCTTCAAAATTTATTACCTACGGTTTGGGGCCACTATCGTGTAAATGTGTTCGGGGGTTATATGGATTGGGAAGATTATGAAGGATGATGGAGAAGTTACGGGCGGGAAGGGAGCCAAAGGCCCCACCCCCTTGACGAATTTAGCTAGTTCAAATGCAACAATAGTGGTTTTGAACTTTAGTACCTCATTTTCTCAACAAGTTATGCCCATCCGCGCTAACCTCCCTAATTACCCTACCCATACCCTACCCAGCCTTACCTCTGGCTAAAACCAAAACCAGATGCTCTCTCCTTGCGCGAAAACTCATTCAATTTCGCTCAGAACTTACGATCAAATGAGACTTTCCTCGGCGATTCTCGTCGTCGTCGTTTTCTACTCCCACTGTGCCTCTCCGACATCGTCGTTCGTGCCTCCTCCACCAGATTTACGAGGTCGACGCTGCGCCGACGCTTTATTGCCTTGGCGTTTTGCCAACAACACCTCTCGCTTACGCTCGCTCGGGTTCGATTCGGCGAAAAATCAATGTGGAGAAGAAAATTTATGATTGGGTACGAGAGGATATAATGTTCTCGTACCTTACTGTCCCTTTCCTGGACGTTTTGACGTCATCTTGCCTTATTTGTGGTTCAAATTTGGCGCCAAATCGCGCGGGTTACGGTAGCGAGGGGGTCAAACTTTCCCATGGCTGCAAACTCGTCCGCAAATCAAACCGTTGTCTTTTTTTTTGAGCAAAAACTCAACACAAAGTGTTTTTTACTCTTTGTTTACCCTCTCCTTCCCTCTCGATCAGCTATCGCTGTCAAGTATGCGCGATTGGCACTGTTTTAAGTGTCAAATGAACGATTATCATTGCGCTGACGTAACTCGTCCTGGGCAAAGTTTTCCACCAGGGAATTCAGCAAGCAACACATAAATTACTTTGAATTACCCAACTATGTGTTTTGCGTAACGTTGTTTGTTAGGAATCCGAGAAAATGTCTTGTTACTGTGTAAACAGAAGATAAAAATGTTTCTTGTTCTTTGTTAGAGGCAAAAATTAGAAGCACAATATTTGATCTAAAATTTTTACTTCACTATGGCATCTCAAGAAGGTTTTAGGTTGACGGATAATTTCTGTTACACTTTTATTTTTATTCTTCAAAAATCAAAAGGACTTTCAAAAATTTTTATGTGCAACGTTTATGTTTATGTTCTGTCCTACATATAGAGCAAGCAGAAACATTTTAAAAAGCTTCCGGAATTTTTGAGAATTTTTGAGTGTAGCAGAAATTATCCGACAACCTAATAGTTGAAAGAGACCACAGAATATGATGCAACCATCTCAAACAATTCTTGAGTTTCTACTATAATTTCCATTTTTTGAAGGGGGGGGGATAGGAGGGAAGGTGTAGTTAAATTCGTCTAACTGGTCCTTTTTCATTGTTTTTTTTTTCATGACACCATTTCATTTGGTTAATTGCATACCAAGATTATATTATAATGCGTAAATAAAAACAAACCAGATTACTAAACAACTTCCTTCGTGCGTTATTATTTAGACAAATTGTCAAACTTAAGAAACTGCTCCACAGATCCAAAACAATTTTGGCAACAGATTTCTTTGAGAATTTTTTCTCCTTCCCAATGCCAACCACGTAATCAACACCTCAAGTGTTTGGTATTCTCTTCGCTAAAAGCCTTCTTTATTTATACGAGCCCTTCTTTCCTTAATGTATGCAAATGCAAAACCATTCGAAAAGAATGTGCCATTCATCAGGATCTCAAGCTGTGCAACAAAAATTTTTCAGCAATAAATGCACAGTCAATACATTTATCTTAAAACTTGATTTATTGTTATGTTGAAATCTGGTGTTTGGTGCAGTACTCTAGCGATATACTACAAATTAAATTAATACTGTTGTAGATAAATCAAGGCGTCTAGATTTACTAAGAAGCTGCACAAGAGCGCAGTCAATGTTTAGGTTTTGTTTTGCTAGCAGATAAGTGGACACATGCATTCTCAAGCATAGTTTTCAAGAATGAGATGTTACAGCAATGCATGACAAATATTCTCGCAATAGGTTCCATGTGGCACATGTGCAAACTCTTGACTTGAGCCTCTTATATTCAGAATCAAGAACAGTTCCCGGACTACCGATTACGACAACTGCTTTTCCTTATGTGAAGGCTAGTTGGGAAGGCCTTAGCTAATTAGTACAGGTATAGAACCCATTTGTGGCCGAAATATCTCACTCCAGCTAGCCCATATTGTACTTTACATCGTACTGGATGACGGGTATTGCCGCTTGAGGAGGGTACAGTCTGGTTTAAACTTAGAGTCGAATATCTGTCCGAATAAATTATACCGACTTTTGGACAAGGATTTAGCTACGGGCTTCCATTGCTACATTCACTCCACATAAGAATACCAAAACCCCTATATTTCTGAAAACTATTTAGAAGGCTAGGATCAACAGATATCTATGTCTATTATGAGGAGCGCCTGGGAAGCTACCAAATCCAGCACACTTGATGTTTGGGAAGTATTCTGTGAACTTAAATGCAGAGGCTAACAGTCAATACTATTGAGAACAACATTTACCCTATGGGCAGCCATCGCTGTATGATTACGACTACTTTGAACAAAAACAAATGGAGATGCAAAGGAACTCAGACAACTGACCGGAACTTCAGCAGAACGCTTGGAGAAGTTCCACCGGGTCACCCTGCGGAAGTTTCGTAAACGTGCTGCGGAAGGTCCTGAATAAGGTGTTGCGGAAATTCCGAAGAATGCGAACCACAGCAGCAAAAGAGAACATATAGGCGAGATTTGAACCTTACTCTATTGACTGTGAGACTCATCTGCTATCGTCTCCACTACGACTGCCATGTTCAGTAATGCGCTCTTGTTGTTGGCGAGAAACATCATATGAGACAGTACATTCAAAACACTGCGGAAGTACTAGCATGTCAAAGCTGCGGAACCGCCGACATTTTTCGGAAGTTGCGCAGCGCTTTGTATTAAGACCTTCCGAAGTTCCCGTTTTCAACCGGTCTAATGTGAAAATCCTGCGGAAATTCCCATTTTCAACGTTTCCACTTTTGCAATAGTAAACAAAATCCTGCGGAATCGCTGCAAATTTTGCTTGTCGTGCGCAAGTTCTGGTGAATTGTCTGAGAAGCTGATTGTTTGGAGCAAGAAAATTTGATTCTATTCGACCTTACGACGACTGCAGAGCAGTGTTGAAAAGACTACTGAATTTGTACTCTTTTTATACTCATCTGAAGAGATGTTCCCATTCGACTGACACTGTTTTCAAAGTCGTCGCTTGCTGTCGACATTTCAGATTCAAACCACTCGCATTTGGTCCCCAACTTTTTCTTGTGTGAGTTCTCATCGTAATTGATGAGTATCTCAGAAAAACTCACTGAGTCATCGCAGTAGATAAATATCATTGGTGTGAGAAATGCCATAAATGAAGAAGAAAAAAGAAGAGATTCCAGCAGAGTTAGCGGTTCAAATTTCCGGAACTTGAATCTCACAACTCTTTGTACAAGTAATAGTAACACTTTCCTTTGTACTACATACCCAAGATGAATTTGTTCACATTTATCAAATAAGTACTTTGCAGTCTGTTTTATACCGTCGTTTTCTCGATTTATACTTGATCGAGTAAAAGCACGATATGTTATCACATTCATTAATATTCATAAAACAGAAGCTGAATCAAAAAACTACGTTGAACAGTTCAAGCGGCTGACTTTTATATACTCATTAATTGAACCTCATTTTTTTGATTATATTTTGTCTTCGTACATCGCTGCTTCAACTTTTTTTTACTATTTCGTTTCACCATTTCTCTTATTTTTCTCGCCATGTGCAATAAATGCGAAGCATTTTTTGTGTAAATAATTAATAATCCTTTATTTTGCAAGTAGCGTCGTATCCTGGTCTGATGTATAGAAACTTTATTAAACAACGACAGTAGCAAACTCACTAAAATAAATAGGTACATTTGAAAAATAATGAAAAAATGTAATGAGAGATCGACAAGGAAGTGTGTACAAACTCCAATTCTCTGCATAATTTTCAAGTTTTGCAACCTTAAAGTGCAAACCCCGCCCACAATCAAGCCCCGCCCTCCCACCCATGCTCACACTGGCTCACTTATTACTTTGCAAATGTAAAATTTAAAATTGAAATGTGCGAACGTGTGAAAGATGCAATAAGCTTGTCTTTATCTTATTTTACCGTGCGCTATTGAATGAATATTTTTTATGACAGTTGAACAAATACAAGACTTCCCAATTTTTCTAAGTAAATCAGAAAAATTTGACTCTCAAGTTACCGTACCAATGACTTACCTGACAAGACTTTGTGACATGGAATCTCAATCCATCAAAATCATTGGTGATGATGACCAGAAAAAAAAACGTCGGCCAATTCAGAGTGGAACCATTCACAGTATTTTCTAACATTTTTCGGCTTCTCAAAGGAGAGGGCTTATGCAGTGTGATGAATGCTGGTGTCAAAGTGATGACAAAAACTTCAGAAGATACCTCTAGTTGATGATGTGGCATTTTATCAAAGACATTCCAATGGTCAGTTTATCAAATGGAAAAACATAAATGCGGCAAGGTAGATTACGGTAGGGGGTAATGTCGAGGCAGGACTGTTTGCTGGAAAGGGACATTCAAGTCGATCCACGACAACATGGCAAACGCGATGGCGAATATGTGGTAGACCGATGATCTGGAATGCTGTTTTTTGTTGTTTACAGTTAATTTAAGTAGGTATTAGAATTTCTTGAATTTGAAGGTGGCATCAAAACAGATCCAGCTGATTTTTGAGTGAGGATCGTTGAAGATAAGCTGATCGATTGAGTTCAGCTATGGTTCTTTGAAACCGGAAACTTCTATTTGAAATTCCAACCCAAACCGTTTTAACTACAGTATTCGAGGACGCTGAATAAACAGAAGTACCGGGCGAGAGTTTAGAGTTGAACACCGGACTGGAATGATTTTTTTTAGCTACTTGACCAATGTCTCAGTTATAGCCTTTCAATCATCATTCAAAAGTCCAGGTTCAGCCGCGTGAATTTGCTGTTGAAGAAAAATTCTTCTTTATCTGCAAAAAAGGAATCGCAGAGATATGAACCCAAATAAAATTTGGTGAAATTCATTGTTAGAGTTATAAAAGGCTGTACTTTGTATCCGCAAGCCACTTATATTCATAATCATTCACAATGTATCTGTTAAGATACATTGTTGTTGTTTGTAAATGTTTTGCTCCTACAGTTTTCTTGTCAATTTCAAAGCAAACTCAAATTTATTTTGTTTTTAAAAAGCGAATGTCATCAGTTCGCGCAGCATAGTAGTAACCAGAATACGGGTTGAGTAAGCTTCAGACAAATCAAAAGTTGAATCACTAGAATAAAAAAACATCCGCTATGATTACAAGCCTTGTTTTGAAAGTATCTCCATGAAAGATAGGTGAAAAAAGACTGATCTATCTAATATATGAAGTATCGTTAGCTCAAGTCAAAAATCTTCCAATAGCGGGAAACCGCAGCGTGTCCCGCAGCGAACGCTCGACCACATAGCCTTTAGATTACTGGTTCACTAGTCTAATATGTAGGAAATCGTAACGCCAATACAAAAATACTATCAAATAGCGGGAAACCGTGCTGCGGTCCCGAAGCGCGCGGATATGATCTAGCACCTTTAATTATTGGTTCACTAATCAAAGAAAAGTTTGATGGCTTGGAATAGTCTTTGCTTCCTTTGGAATTTTTCCTTCGATAATGATTCTAGTAGGAAAATGAGCAGAGTGACAATCAGAGTAATGTTTGGAAGCTGTTACTCAGCATAAAAATGCAGTTATAAAATCTAAATTTCTGAGACAAGGACGTAGTGATATATTATTTGCAGTGGAGCTGCAACTGACTTTGTTTTATCGCTTTTTAAAAATGGTGAAGCATCATTTTCACGGCTACAAGAGAAGGTTCGTAAAGCTGTGGCACCTCTATATGGTCTAGTAAGCGCAGAAATATGTCACTGAAGTCGAAAATTTGTAATCTCAAACTCCCCAAAATCTGTCTGAGAAGTGCTGCCTAGTATGCAGGCCTTAGCCATTTTTGCGTGTTTGTGTTTAGCAAAATCCAGCAAAAGATACAGTATGATCAATGCAATCAACAAAAAAAAGGCGGAGAAAAAGCATAAAAGAAAGACCTTGACCTTTTAGAGATTGCAAGAACATTGCATTTCCATGTCAGTTCACAATGATAAAATATTCCAGAAAAGATTTCAAGTGAACTGACCTGTGCACAGATTTCGTGTACACCTGGCTGCGGTCGAAGCGCGAAATCGTATTGAAGCCAACGTTCGACGCTTGTCGTCACCAGGTGCCCTTCGTACAGAATTCGTCGACCATCGCGAATAAAATAGTGAAGATCCACAGATGACGAATACGGCCAGTATTCGTCAAATCGAGCGAGGACTGAGGCTTGGTCACAACCATTGGTCCTGAAATTGGGAAAACAGACATCAAAAGTCACTGAAACACAACCAATTTTCTACATTTTTCAATCGTGACATTTTCCAAGGACCACATTTCGTACTCTCGCTCGGTCAACTATAAGAAATGACCATATTCGCTTAATTGTACCTTTTACTCTGATACCATGTGGACATATTTTCTGGAGATGAAATTTTCTCTACGTGTGGCTACAATAAGCGATGAATTGGCAACCATTCGAAGCATTCTCTATTTATCGTCGGGAGCAGAATTTCGGTTAGAGATTTGAGAGGTGACGACATTGGAATATTCTTTACATTAAAGCAGACACATATGCAAATCTCGTAACGCTCAAAAAATGTACGAAAGTAAAAATTGTGCTTTTTAACTAATAGATTTCCTCTGTTAAGTGAATACTGTTTGTTTTTTGATAAACGGGCGGAAATGGAATATGATGTTTGGTGTACTGCCCACTTTTAGAGGAACATACGAAACTGGAGGGATCTACCAGTTCAATCACTTTTTCAGAGAGACTAACTGTTTCACATATCTATTCATTTTTGGGTACTTTTCCGTTATCCGGACCCATTTCTTCAAAGAAGCATAGCGCTTCTTTCCTTGCATCATATTTGGTCCCAACTTCATAGGAAAGAGTGTCAACCTTCTGCCACGTGTCAGAAAAATTTGACATGCCATCTACATGTTTAACAAGTTTTACCAAGAGTTTGTGTTGCTATACCTAGCGACATAGATTCAACCTTTTTCTTGGTCAATAATGACCCTGTTTTCGATTAAACAATTTCAGAAATAATATTGTTATAATAATAACGTCGCTCTCTTAATAATGAACATACTAGACATGCCCGGAATGGGGAAATGCGCTAGAGTTCCATCATCTAAGCGGCGAAAAGCAGCAGCGAGGTACTACTTCAAGCCATCATTTGTGGACTTTCCTAGCTAAACTCGCATGGCAGAAAGTTTAAGAGAAATACATTCTTGAATCATTGCTAGAAGCAATCAAAGATATTCTAGTAATGGTTTTAAATTGTTTTGCTCTTATATAAATCAGCTGAACAGCTTTTAATTGGTTAGAAATGATCTTTTACCTCAACAAAAATGATTGCGAAAAAAACATGTCAAAGTGGACTAGAACGTGTCAATCTTTTCCTGACACGTGGCGGGGAGGCAGTCCTCGTAGAATCTATGAAAATTTGTACTTGGACTACAGAACGTACTTTATAAGAGGCTTTTGAAAAAATGGGTCCGGCGGAAAAGTACCCATTTTTGAGATATACAATTCATCGCAGTCGTTACTCCTTGTACGGTACCCTAGAAGGGCTTAATGCTACCACGAAAAAAAATAATGGATAAAACAAAAGTGGCGATTCCTAAATTCCTAGAGATTTGGGAAGCCAGTTATGCCATGATAAAATTTTCTACTTTGTTCATCAAAACATGGTACCTCTACTAACTTTCAGATTTTTTGAGAAGGAAAGGCATTATTTCCTGACATCGCTAAAACAACCGAAAGGAGTCAGTTTGCCTTATTTCAATAGACTTGAACATATGATAATATACAGGGTGTCTCAAAAGTAAGTACACAGATTTTGATCGGTAATAACTCCCTTCCCACGAGATGTTTTGATTAGCATCAAGTAACATTAGTGAGTGGGCTTCATCTTAGATCTACGAGCGAATTACCCACCTCTCTACATTATCGTAGGATTACGGTAGGAACTTTCAGCATAAAGCGCCTGTATGAAATAGGTTGCTTGAGAAAAAGGTCCCAAAAGGTCCCAGGTCTCTCTGAAAAGTTGTATAGCAGTGTTTTCCTGCATGCTGGCTCAATTTAACATTTTCACGAGTTTTTGCGTTTTACGATGTTTTTGTCACGTTTTTGTGATACACTGAAAAACATTATTGCGGTTTACCTAAATACCTTATGAAGAAAAGTTTTACGCTAAAATGCGAATTTTATATTCATAGTCCGCGACTCAGTTTAGCTTAATGATAAAGTCTTCAGCTTGTTAAGTATTCATTCTGGGGCAAAATTCTCCATCAATGGCTCAAAACCCTCCTCAGTGTTCCTACCGTAATCCTAAAGTAATGAAGAGAGTTGAGTTACCCATTCCATGCAGCAAATCTGAGCCGAAGTCTGGTCTACTGAATGGTGCTTGAAGCTAAGCAGAAGACTATCTGGGAAGAGAGTTGATACCTATTAAAAAGTGCGTACTCCCTTTTGGGACAAGTTGTGTGATGAACAGCCCAATTACATGAATCTTTTTTGTGCATGAACTGCAAAAATTTGGTATGAATTAAAATTTTTTAGAAAAGCCAAGTTTTCTATTAAGAATCTATTTGACCTTGTGTTTTTCTTTTCACATTTAAAACCAAGTTGCTTGCATAACTTCATAGTCCCATATGCAAGCTGCCATCCATCCTCAGTGATGAAGAAAAGGAGGGAAGAAGAGACACTGTTCAAGAATCTATTTGGGAAAAGAAAGAAACGTAAGAAATGTCAACTGTCCTCATGATCCACACTTGTTTAAATCTTATATCGTCAGCCAAAGCTTATATCAGCATCTTATCGGCATTTGACAAAAGCCTACTGTTATCCAAGTAAAAAACTTCCGGAACGTTTCATCGACCTTTTATCAAGGGCATATCGCTTTTTCACACAGCACCTACCGTAACGCATTGAATGTGATGTCATTTATTTGATCTAAATTAGGTCATTAATAGGTGTGATTTTATCCCGAATCATCAAACGAAACGCAAATCGATTCGTGAATAGAGCGGATGGGGCTAAGAGCGAGACCACTAAATCACCAGCCATTATTTTAATGGGGTGTGCGTGCACAGAAGTTGTGTGTATCTGTTGATCAGAGCGCAATGCGGGGCCCCGCCGTATACGGTAGCGGGGAGGTGGGGGGGGGGGGGGGAGTGGGGGAAGGGACATTTCTCAAATATGACCTAGAAAGATATACACGATTATGTGAGACAGGCGCCATATTTGAGTTGTGAAAGGGGTTGATCAGAGCCAGGGGCGACTAAATGACGGGCAGTTGGCATTTGGTTTTACGTCAGAGAGAATCAAAACAGTGCAAACCAGAAGACCTGATGGCCAAAAACAGATAGTTCTAACGTACTGATGTTTTCCGATTTGAAAGGAAAAATATCTTTACTATATCTTTGAATATTATACTTCTTTTATATTTTTAATATCTTCGCAAGTCTAATATCTTTCAATAATCTTGGTCTTATAAACCTTTCCTTCTGAATATTTGAATCCTTGAATCCCTATTCAAATTGTTATATGCTTACATCTTCAATTCTTAGGGTGCTTCATTTTTGCGTACAAGACATCAGGTGTCAAATGCCTGCCGTATAGTGCGTCGCTTCAGCTCAAATGCTTCCAAACCCCTAAGTATGGCGTCTGCGTAAAGCAAATAGCGAACCTTATCTTTGAAGAAATTTAATGATATGGTGAGCACCCTTTTTTCACGTTCTTCCCCCCCCCCCCCATTTCTACTCTACGAAACAGCAAATAAATCACAAATTGCTGCATGCAAATCGCGAATCTACTTCGCTCCCGAACAATAACAATAAATCCATCGCTGCAGATCCCTTCCCATTCTTCCCTCCCCCCCCCCCCCCCTCCTCCCTCGCTTCTCTTTAAGCCGATGATCAGATAAATGCGAAAAATGGCTTCGAACCGAGCACATGAAACCGAACCGACCCCGTCATAGTGCGCTAGAACCCGGCTAGCAGCCCACCCCGCCAAGAAACATTGTTATTGTTGGAAGTGTCGGCTAGGCCTTTGAAGTTGTGAGAGAGCACGAGGCCGTTCTAATGAAAAGTGGGAGTCGATTTGGACAGCAGATAGAAATTCCAGACGCGTCACAGATGCAGTTTCTACGTTGTGCAAACCGGTGCAACCGGGGAGGGATTTGAATTTTGCGCTTTTTGCCATAGAAAAAGGAGAATAAATTTCTAGAAAGACAGTAAATCATAAGTTATTTTATGTTAAAAGACTTTGAAATTTGTTCTGCCGTCTTAACTTGCACACAGATTGTCTGCATATCAAGAATTTCTCTGAACTCTAGAGCATCACACATTTTCAAAGTTTTAAGTTTTCTAATTATTTCTAGCTAGATCATGACACTGTGAACCTGCTCCAGAATGATTTTACAATTGAGTTGAGGAAGTTTCCAGGCACCTGCAAAATATGCCAACTTCGATGACACCTGCAAAATATGCCAAATTACGATGACTCCAACTGTAGTGATTTCTTTCCCAAGAAAGTTGAATGTTTATTGTAATCATGTTCATAACGAAGTTTTGAATAGTCAGTTTTTATTGTTGTTTATGCTGATTCGGTATAGAGCAAAAAGAGAAAAGTATTTCTTCACATTAGAAATTTCCAGGTAGAAATTCAATTTGGTGGACTGCAATTAAACCCCTTTAGAATTCTTTCAGAACTCAGAATTCTATGGACGTGATATGTAGCTTATTTATGCAGAATTTTCTAGATCATGTAAAAAATTAATGTAAAATCGTTGTTTCCGAATACAAAAAATTGAAAAAATGAGAGAGAACTTTTCGTAATGTCTGGGTGCTTTCTTTACATCTTCATTTTTGAAGAACCCAGTTAATGAGATTCCATCTTTCAAAATTTTGTGAACTACTACTATTTTAAATACAGATCTAAAAACTAGTAAAGGGCAATAGTATTGTGTCGCTCCAAAATACCTTCCGCCTACAAGCCATGTGGACGATCTTTGGGAATTTCATAAAACTGTGAAAAGTAGACAAGTTCTTTCTCAAGATACAAACCGAAATGAAGCCCACGAAAGGAAGAAAGACAAGAGGAATTTGTTTTTTCTCTCAAATATTTCAATGCCTCAAGCCATGCTGTTGTGAATTAATTACGAGCAGTCTTGGGGTGGAGGGGGGAAGCTCATTGTCAGATCAAAGAAGAAGGCCGAAAAAATGCCTTTGACTTTTCTCAGCATATTAGGCTTTTAGAAGGGAAACCCAGTTCTACAACACTTTCTCGTTATACAAAATTCTTGAAACTAAAATAACAAAACTTTCTATTTAATTAAAAGCCATCAAACAATGAAAAAATTGTTAATGCACTCAATCTCGATTGATAGTTCTAGCTCATAAATCAATCAGAACCCATTATCCCAATCAAAAGGAGCTGTATTACATCCTGTTGTACATTACAACATCACTAATGCGCTACAAATACTACTAAAATATTACCCCACAAAAAAACTACGCCAACTCTACGCGAAAAGTACAACGTAATCGTAATCGTAGCCATTTACGTCGCGAATCGTAAATTTACTCGTTTTTGCATTATCGTTTACAGCTCGGCGAGAGTAACATAACTGGCGGATATATTTTACGCACTGAACGTTCATTGATTAGGATCGCAGCGCTTCATAACTGTAATCGTTGTGAGTCGTGGAAGAGCGCTAGAAATCGCATAAATCACATTTTTTACGAGTTCGCGCCGACTTGTGCGGCGGCGCCCGTCGGCCATCAACAGCCACTTCGACATTCACGAGTGAAAATACGAGGCGGGGGATCGGAGACATAAATGTACAAATAAATTTTCTGGGTGTATGTCGCAAGGCCTTATTTTGGGCAGTCGTTATTAACTTTAAGCTCATTTGAATTTTTAAAATTAAAAAATTCTGTTTTATGAAATCAGATATGGCAGGAGTTTACACAGACACTGAGATCTGATATTTAGTCTAATTTGTATTAATGAGTCATCATCAGAAATCTTGGAAATAATTTGAGTAGCCACTTCGACCGCATTTATTCCCCTTTCTTATAAATAAAACCTTTTTTGGCAAGTAATTCCTTCATTCCTAGGGAGCCACACGGAAGATCCCAGCCTTATTACTCCCAAATATTTATAGTAAAGTCAAGAGTAGCTGCAATGAAAAGTTTTGCTATTTTTCTGTAAGCCTCTTAGAAAATTTAGTTTCCTCTACATCAGAACAAGGTTCAAATACTGAGGTCATATGCTATCCTTGCCATTTTTTTTCAAAAATACGACATTTCTGTTCTGATTAAACTTTAGATTTATTGCGGCGAACTCATAAAAGACTCGGATTAAAAAAAGTAGTAGCCTTGTCTTAACAATTTTTCCTCAACGGGGAAAGAGGGAGGGCAACTTTAAAGAAAGGAACAAGGCACGGACAAGTTTTGCCCACGGGAAGAAACTTCCTTACAAAGCTAACCAAGTTTTCATAAAATTTTTGGAAATCCAGTTATTCATTAGCGAAAGTTGCTCACTGACATAATATTTCAAAAATGTTTTCTAGCTGTTTTTTGTGATTAAAAGAGCAGATTTGGAAAACAAATGAAGCAACAACTATCAAATACAGGCAGTTTCTCTCGGGAGCAAAAGGAACTGCTTTTTAATTGAAAGTTGAGTGACTTTGGCATGAATATTTACTTCAAGGTGCCAAACATCTAGGTGATGAGCTTATGATCCAGAAATTTTGGAGAAAGGGGCAGCGAGAGCAAATTCCTTACCAAGCTGAATAAGGCCCTCAAAAATTAGGGAAAATGTTTTAAATTAAAGGAAAGCAAAAACAAACCACTCGCCAACAGTTCTGTGAAACTTCTTTATCCTTTACGGTTATGCCAGATGGCTAAGATCTTCTAGCAGTTACAAAACCCATAAAGAATTAACACACTATTTTATTAACTATTCTTCTCTTATTCACAATACTTCGGCGCATTTTTACACATTCTCGAAGTGTCTCGTAACATAAGTGCACCACACTATATTTTCTCGCAAATCTCGCGCAATCTGCTCGCGAATAGTGCTACCGGCGCGGAAGAACAAAAGAAAAGCCAATTAGATGCGAATTTTGCAGCCACACATACCACACACACCACGATCGTATGAAACGAACGTCGTAACGGCCTCTCAGATGTGTAATAGCCATATCGTTAACCACCACGGCGTGTGTGATTTATTCGAAGCTGTTGGGAACGGCTATAGAGGGGGTTGTCTGGGCGAGGGGAAGTGTCACATCACAATACGACGCCCAATATAGGATTCAATAAATCAAGCTCAGTGAATGCGATGCGAATTATGGGATATTGTACTACTTCCTTCCTTCCCTTATTATCTACCTCAAATAAATTTGTCCAAAACAGCAGAAGAAAAAAAGTGACTCACTTTGTTTCCAGATGCAACAACCGTGCTAGCCATACGGCTTCACTACCATTTCGCTGGAGCTCATCAGTTGGCTGGAATACGAACGACGTCGAATGATTGGCGTAATAAGCTCCTAAAAGACTTAGATCAAATATTATAATACTTTCACATACTTAAGCTGTATCCAAAGTTGTCCTTGCCAGAGTCGTGCCAGCAACCGCCACTGCGTCCATGTGGGTTCCAACACGACGCTGGCATATTGCTGGCACGGCGCCAGGGCACGGCCCACTCTGGACGCAGCTTAAGCTCCAGATCTATTCAATCCTCTTATGATCGTCCTCATCCCAGCAAACATGTGATGGAAGCCCTTCCTTAGATAATAACGCGCTCTAAAGCGAATGGCCTGCTCCAGGTCAAATTCTGAATCGTCATCTAGATGTCTACTAGATGGACGACTACTCCAACTGCTGGTTTTTGAGGTACAAGAAAGCCATCCTATTTTACAGAACGGGTTTTATATTTGAAGTAAAATTTGGTATGACCTCAACTTCTAACGTGAATAAGCAAATAAATTCTAATACGGAAAGGCAAGTGCTTATAACTGTACAAACCATAAACTCCATTATGATAGGTTTCATAACGTATAGACGAATGCCAGTCAAGGATGTACCATTCATTCGCGTTCAGTGAGCAGGAGACGTAGTCCTTAATATTCACAGCTAATTTGAGTTGCAATAAAAAATTGTTATTACCGCGTAAGTAGTCGGTAACTCATTGATAGGACAATCTGGATTGGAAGAGTTGAATTTCAAAGATTTGCTGAGTGGACCTCCTTTTGCGAGAACCTGCAAATTGAAGAAGTGCGCATTGGAGTTGGTGTTCTGACATATGTGGTTTTATGGGTTATGTAGACTGATTGGGAGGTCCTGACAAATATCTCTTCGGCCGAAAAATTCAACTCCAGACTTCTCTCCCCATGCCGTACCCTTTCTGCGCGGACAAATCAGCATCCTCGAGTAGAAAGTACGGTATGGGCTGGAGATTAGAGTTGAATTTCTCGTCTACGAATGAACTTTATGAGCTGCCTTGGATGATAGCTTACGCGAGTCTCACACTAAGTTTCCACAATAGAAAACCAGATGCAAAGCCTGGGCACGGTCTTTAATTGAGTTTTTCAAGAAGAGCGTAATCTTTGAGTAAATTATTCCACTTCGCTGCATTTTGTGGACGCAGCGACTAATAAAATTAGTCCTCAAGGACCACTCTGGGTCAAAGACAGCTCTTGGCCCTACATTTTGCGGCTAAAGTAGATTCGTACCTCGGATAAGGCATGAGTGTGTCGTGACAATGAGTACTGACATTCCTCGTAAGCTCCAAAATCTGGTGCCAAACGATATTCACCTTGATAGCCCTGAAAATAGACAAAGTGTTATTCTACAAAAGCAAGAACAGAACACTTATTATTAGATTATTTGGTTTCTTTCTGCACGAAAAAAATTTGAATCTTTCTAAAAATGAGAAATCCAAAGCTGAATTGAATTCAATATCGAGAATTCAAATTTTTCAGCAAAAATTCTGACCTTGAACCCGAACCGACACTGTTGAGCACTTGTGACTTGTCTCCAAGTAAACAGCACATTCGATTTGATAGATACTGTACTTTGTTGATCTCTAACCAAATCTCGTTGAGCTTTTGATGACTTCATAGCCACGCAATATCGAGGTGGTTGTGGCAGATACTGAAAAAAAATTTTCTAATTGGACACTAGAAAAGTGAACCCGCACCTGCATATGTCCATAGATGTGATGCCTCTGATGTGAGCATAACTGAATGGAAAAGTCTACAGGTGTTTCTGCCGAAATCCGTGCATTTTCGGCACCTGGTGCCACTCCAAAAAGGAGTGCCAGGACCAACATCCTGGATGTTATGGGATCCTAAAAGTAATTTCAAAAGCAGTGTCCAGGCAAAACCTATAAACATAGATATATGGACTTTTTGCATGGCTGCTGATTGGAAGGCCTTGGGTCGAGAAATTCGACTCTTGAAAGCCCAGACCGTACTATTTCGGAGCGGAGCAATTAGCGTCCTCAGTTACGGCCCCGTCTGAGCTGCAGTTTAGAATTGGTTCTCACTCTGCATTGAATATATGAACTGCGATTTGGGCAATCTCAAGGCCTCCCTATCAGTTTTCATACAAGAAACCAAGTACCCAGATAAATCTCAAACATTGTCATCAACACATATCAAAACTTCTCACTTTACGGGAAAAAAAATCATGAAATGACAGGTAGCATGCCTAAAACATTCCTTCTGAAGGACTCGGAGACATTGCTTCAAAAGTTTTGCGCCACCAAATCGAAAAGTTTTGCAAGTAGAAAAATGCAATAGTCTTTGAAGAGTTTTCGCAACATATCACGATGTTTTATTATGCTTAATAGAGATGTTCATGGGGACAAAAAAAATCCAAATTTTAAGTGGATAATTGAAATCCATAGCTTTTGTTGGAGATATCCAATTGTTGCTCTCTCAGCTAGAAAGACGTTAGATTGTGAGGCCACATTCAAATCCAAAATCAGTTTCGTTTAGCTGTTTAGCATTTTTGTTCAACAAAACTTGAGAAAACACAAACTAAACTTTTTTTTTGATACGCCAAAAATGTTTTTTAATTTGAACATTTTTGAAAAATGCATTAATTTCTCTTCCTAATTTACGTTGAATCAAACGAATTCGTTGAAGGTTCAGGACACCAAATAAAAGTTGGTCTCACTGGAGGGCCCTTAGCACCTTCCAAAAGAAAATGTAGATTCGAAAAAACCCAATTAGCCTCTTGTTGTGGGATCCACCGAGTTATTGGAATGAACGCGACCCATTCTCAGATTAACAAACAACTATGTTGGAGACTAACGTAGAGTTTAAGGCTCTGTACTGAAACGGTAAATGCCAAGGAATTCATCAAATGTAGCAACATCGCAAGCTTTTTAAGATGAAAATCCGAATGTGTATCTTTTGAAAAAAAAAACATAAAAGTGGATTTTCCAGATTTGTCTACTGCAACATGAATAAAGCGTATTGTGTTCGAAATATTTGTTCTTGCCAAAGATAGAAACCCTGACTATAACTTAAATGCAATACAGAAAAATTTCGCAGATAAAGGCGTTTTTGAAATTCTTCTTTTTCTCGTAAGCAATGTCAAGAGAAATATTCTCTTTCCTTAGCCGAAAAAACCGTAAATAGTCAGTTTCAAAAATTGTCACGATATTCGATGGTGACGTATATTGCAGCTCAAAAAATGCGTAAGAAAGTTTTTCCCTGTATGATCTAGAATTTTCCTATATTTTTCAATAATCACTTCGGAGGCTTACTTGCGCTACACCTCATTCTGGCACATTTCCAATGTATCAAGCTTCCGAGAACTAAAGGAAACTTCAATGAGTCATTGGTACACGATTTTGTTCGAATTATTTGTTGCCCCAAGCCCCTTCCCCACAGTCAAAAAGTTGCGACCATTTCTGTATCCCCTATATTAGAAACTCTGGAATTTCGAATCAGAGTAGGGAAAAAAATGAATTTGGAAACGTTGGCTTATCTCTCGCAAATAGCTTTCAAGTTGAGTCCGTCCAAAGTTGCTTGTGCCAGGACCATTATAGGGCCGTTCCATTGCCGTGTCGAGATTGTGCTAGCAAGGTCAATCGATAATATGCAGTGCGCCACTGCGATCCGGCACGGCACTGGCACACGGGCAACTCTGGACGTACCTACCGACGAGTTTCGCGAAGAAAAAACATGTGTGTAAGGTGGAATAGAAATCGGCGAAGGAGTTGGGCAATAAGCGAAAGGATCTTCTATCGAAAAAAGCTCCATTATCGAGAGTAACGAGGCACATAAGAAAGATAAATTTATTGCTTTTCGGACGAAATTCCCTAGCAAAGATGTGAGCTTTAAAGGACTTCGTTACTGGACTTTTTTGACCGGAATTAGCAGTTCAAAAGCCGAAGAGGTGACCAAAATTCGCGTTGCGAAGCATTTCCGGGCCGCAAGTCTCGATAGTGGTGGCAGTCGTAATTGGGTTATTGTCCGCGAATAAAGCGGTCCCATGTCACAATCAAAGCCGCATCTCGCCTTTCGCCATAAATAAATTCTATCGTAAGGGCATTGAAGAAACACATTAAAACAGTCTGGTGTTTATGTTCTGTGATACTTCCTTTGAAAGTAGAAGTTTCAGCGTTCCAAAAATACTGCAACAATAAGGGGAAAGGAAAATGAGTCCGACATTTTAACAAAACAAATTTCACTTTGATCTCCCCCAAAATCTGGAATATCATTTTTCCAAGCTCAGACTTAAAAATCAATTTTTCACGCTTTTTTCAAACTCAGCCAGCTGTCTTTCTCATGCAGTTTTGTTCCAAATGAGACATGTTTCGTGCAGAGCGTAATCCAATAAAGGAAGTCTCCACAAAAAAGCGTAAAATGGCCAGACAACCAGCTCAAACAGTGGCACAGATTCGAAAACTATGATGTATGGATGTTGTTTCCAGTGCTTAGGAGCCGGCATCATGAAAAACTTTTTGCTTTTATATTTATGGGTTTTCACCGACGGAAAAATTTAGCGAATTTTTGGAATTTAGTGCTTTCAAAACAATAGGTGGCCAGCATTTATAATGGTCTTTCAATAAGGCTTAAAAAGTGAAAGTGCTTTATTTGGCTGGATTCTTTGCTGCAATTGGCATTTTGAGTATATTAGATCTGTAAATGCTATGTTTCCAACAATTTCAAAAAGAAGGTAAGCTCAGTCTTCAACAAATCACAGCAAATATGTGATGTGCACGAAGTTATCATACTCTACCAATTATTTATTGATTTTACATATATGAAAAATGAGAGTAAAATAGAAAATTTGTAGCAATATCCAGACATTTGCATGGAACTCGAAGAAGCTGGAGAAGTAAGCGATGGTGATGAGAGATAATCCCTCAAATGTCCAGAATTATTGACGGGCAGAAGTGACGAAGCTATGAATGCGTAATTTGTCGCCCACGTATTGTTTTTGAGTGGGTTCCAAGTAATGTTTTATGACACACAAGAAAAATTGAACAAATTTGTAGTAGGTCGGTAGACCCAAAACATTTCCAGGAAAAAACTTGTGGGAAGCGTTTTCTGCTTCCTCACAATTTCTAGAATGCTTCCAAATTATCCCAATAATATATTCTTTGTAAGTTCAAAATCGATATCATCTTTTACGTCTGAAACAATCTACTCCGCCCTCAAAACTTATATTCTTGAAAGTCTCTCTATCCCACCAACCCCTTTCGCTCTAACAGGCGCTGACTGGATCAAATTATGAAAAAAAAAACATATAGTGCAAACTATATACGACACCCACCAAAATTTGGGTTTTCCGGATTTACAGAAGAAATCGAGTACTCCAGTCAGTGCCTGTGTGGCCCACGTACATATATGCGTTTTCCATGCGTATAGCGGGCGTGGCCGTGGTTTTTGTAATCTCTAGCTATCAAAAACTGCCACGCACATACATTGGCAAACGTCGGCAAAGCTCCGCCCGCTATACTGTAGGGTATAGGCGATGCAATATTGATATATACAATAAAATGACATTTCAATCACTATGTCTACTCACTTGTTTTCCTACATGTAAAGACATGTCTATTCTTCCACCGTTTCATAACTATAACACACCTTCGAGCAAGTACTTTTTCCAAAGAAAACAAATTCCAAAACGAGATTTTCACGATTAATTGGGCCCATCGAGCCTTTTTACCACTTTATCAAGTCTAATGGAAATGCTTTTGACAAATTCATGCATGCATGTCTTCGGTTGTTGGTTTAGTGTTGTTCCACGCGTCCATAACGAACTGCTCCAACTTCTCAATGACTCGTAGTGTTTGTATTTGCTCAGAATCGATGTACAGTAATTTCCAATTTTCTGAAGGATTCAAGACAGGACAGTATGGTCACCTTTACAGAAGCTGCTCGCGATGCTGGTGGAGAACGGCGGTAAGTGACCCGCGTGCATGTTCAGTGCGTTGTGCTGCTTCTAAACGTAATGCTGTTACCTGCGCTTGTGGAAGGAGAACAGTCGTTGGTTTCCCAGTACTTCTTGGCAAACTACGCGCAAAGGTTCTCAGTGTACTTTTGTTGTAGTCTTCTACTTGTACTTGCACTTGTACTTGTACTTGTGGTGGGTCCTGGACACTTGTAGAATAGTAGATTTATTAGTAGACCGGATATGAATAAGAACAGACGATAAGACGAGACGAATGACTTGGCTAGCAGGGAGCGTCTTGTATAGCGCTCAGATCATGCGCAAAGGTCAATACAATACCAATAGATTCTAGAAATCACAAGCCAATAACAACACAAAACAAAACAACAAATGTTACTCTCCAACAACTTCAAACTTTTGAACCACACAAAATGCTCTCAGATTGTAGAGGGGCCTAGCTGAGATTTCTCTTGCTATAATGATCTGGGCTTTGCTTACATCTCCCGCCAGTCGGTCTTCTAGCCGTCACAGCGGTTTAAATTAAATTTTTTGACTGGACTACATCACCAAATCATTGGCTCATCCTTTCTGTCATCTTCTTAAGAAAGCGTCCGTAATAGCACTACGTTTCGCAGCAACGCATGTGAACATGCAAGAGGGTCACTAACCGCCGTTCTCTGTCAGCATCACGAGTAGCTTGTGTGAAGGTGACGATACTGTATTGTCTTAAATCCTTCAGAAAATCTCTGGAGATTACTGGCACATAGTTTCTGAGCAGATACAAACAGTACGAGTCATTGAAAAAGCTGGAGTAGTTCGTTATGGACGCATGTTAGAAGATTAAACCGAAGACATGCATGAATTGGTCAGAAGTATTTCCAACAGACTTGGTGAAGTGGAAAAATGGCCCGGTGG